GGGCGGCTGTCGGCCGCCCGTCGCCGGCGTCCGCCCGGTGCCCACCAAACAGATCTATTCGACCCGACACAAGTTCGACTCAAGTGCAACTCGGGTTCGACTCGGGTTCCACTCGAGGTCGACTCGGGTTCGACTCAGGTCCGACTCAAGGTTCGACTCAAGGTTCGACTCAAGGGCGACTCAAGGTTCGACTCAAGGTTCGACTCAAGTGCGACTCAAGGTTCGACTCAAGTGCGACTCAAGGTTCGACTCAAGTGCGACTCGGGTTCGACCCGGCACAAGTTCGACTCACGTGCGACTCGGGTTCGACTCGAGGTTCGCCTCGAGGTCGACTCGAGTCGACGGGCGCTCCCCGCATCTTCGACGCGCGCGTGGAGCTCTTGGCTCCAGGAGGGTCCCCAGCACGAGCACCCAGCTGGGCCCCTGGGGAGTGCGGGTCCGGCGGGCTCGTGGCCGCCCGTCGCCGCCGCCATCGTCGAGTTGCTTGGCGTTGCCATCGCCTCGTGTTAGGGAGAGAAACACACAGACACAATTAATGGTCGATTCCCCAGAACGATTGGTAAATATGGGAAGTGGGGGGGAAGACAGAAACCCAGAAAATATGGGAAAATATGGGGAATCTTTTTATTTGTGTGTATTTATTTGTGTGTCCTGGGGCCCGCCTCCCGGGTGGGGTCCGAGCAGATGGGGTCGGCGGATCGCGCTGCACCGTCGATGCATCAGCGATGCGGCTCGGTGTGGAGCCCGATGTTCTCCACGCGGGCGTCGCTGATGCACCGCCGATGTCGCCGATGCGGCGCGATCCTCCGGCCCCATCTAGGAGGCCTCTAATTGCGGTCTGTTGCTTGCATTGCCCTGCGTTAATGTTGCACTGTTGTCTAATTTGTATGCGCTGTTTCGCGTTGCTTTGCATTGTTTTGCACTGCTTCGCATTTTTTCTATTGCGTGTTGCGCTCCTTGGCATTATTCTGCGCCGCATAGATTGTACATGGCGCGCACCACCTAGATTGCACCACACTGATTGAACCACATATTGCACCGCATAGATTGCAAGAACTCGCTGTGTGGGGCTTCGCTGGCTAACATGATTCCCAACATCCTGAGTGGGGTTTTTATTTCCTTCGAACACATGATCCTTCTTGTTCCTCCTCCTAATCCTCCTCCTCCTCCTCCTCCTCCTCTCTCCTTTCAAGCGTTTCCTCCTTTCTTGAGGATCGGCAGACTAAAGCGTCATGGCTGGAGCGTTATTTTCCTTATTCCTCCTCCTCATGCAAGTTCCTTCCACTCGTGCAAGCTTCAGAGCCTCTTCTCTTGCAAACTTCACCATTTCACCAGTTCTCCGGAGCTCCTCATGCAAGCTCCATCACCACCCCATGCAATTTCCACATCACCTTCTCTTGAAAATTCCACCATGCCACCTCCAGCTTGCGCGTACCAGATACCATGGTACCTACCAGCTACATGGTTTGACAGGCACGAGGCTTCTTGCCTCCTTCAACCCTTCAGCCTCCACCAGCCCCACCAGTAGTACAGATCCTACCTCCAGGGAGACAGTGTCGGACTGCGCGGGCTATGCGAAGCACGTGTTATTTATCAGGGGTCGTGTTTTTTCAACCTCCATCAGCCTCACCAGTATCGCAAGATTCTACCTCCAAGGAGGCCGTGTCGGACTGCGCGGGCTATGCGAAACAAGTGCTATTTCTCAGGGATCGCGTCCCCCAGCCTCCACCAGCCCCGCTGGTAGCACAGATTCCACCTCCAGGGAGGCCGTGTCGGGCTGCGCGAGCTATGCGAAACACGTGTTGTTTATAGGGGTCGTGCCCTCCAGCCTCCACCGGCCCCACAGGCAGCACAGTTTCTACCTCCAGGGAGGCCGTGTCGGAGTGCGCTGCCTATGCAGAAGATGTGTGTGTGTGTGTGTGTGATGGTGGCCTCCAGCCTCCACCAGCCCAAGCAATTAGACATTCTACCTCCAGGGAGGCCGTGTCGGACTGCGTGGGCTATGCGAAACACGTGTATTTCATCAGGGACCGGGCCCTCCAGCCTGCACCAGCCCCACCTCTATTACAGCTCCTACCTCCAATGAGGCCGTGACGGACTGCGCGGACTGCTTCCCTTCCTTGTCTTCCTCTACCCTTCCATGTAGGGGAGGAGGAGCAGCAGAAGGTGGAAGCAGTCTCAGCTCAACAGGACGGCCACGCCGACGACCACGACGACGACGATTCGACTGGCGCCCTGGGGCGCCACAAGATGGCCAAACAGCAAGACGGTGGTGGGGAGAGCGGGATCAGGAGGAGAGCCCATCAGGAGGCATGAGTAGACAGGGGGGGGTGGACCTGGAAGCGGAGAGGGGGGGCAGCATGCAAGGGTGGAGACAGGAGAATGGCAGCGGGTGAGGAGGGGGGGGGCGCGGCGGGCAGCAGGAGGCAGCAGGGGGGGCGGCCCTTGGAGCAGGAGCGGCCCCGGGCCCCGGAGCTCCCGCGAGAGAGGCCAAGCGCGTCATGTACCCGCCCCGCATGGGCGGCTCCCGCGACCTCTCGCGCTTCTGAGGGCCGTGCACGACCTCCTGCTCCTCCTGCTCCTCGTCGTCCTCCTACTCCTCCCCCTCTTTCTCGTCCTCATCCTCTTCTTCCTCGTCGTCTTCTTCTTCTTCCTCCTCCTCGTCCTCTTCCTCTTCTTCTTTCTCCTCCTCCTCCTCCTCCTCCTCCTCCTCCCCCTCCTCCTCTCCTCGGCGCCTGCAGCGACCCCGGCCTCTCCCGAGCCGTCCCGCCTCCCTTTCCATCCCTTGCCCTCCCTTGCCCTCTCCGCCCCTCCACCCGCCTCGGCATCCATCCCCTCTCCTCCCCTCCACCTTTAAGTGGGCCTGTCCCTCTACAGTGGTGAAATTCAAAAATAGTCAAAAGATAGTACGGGGACGATTCTTTTTGTTATTTTAGTTTACTTTAGAATTATTTTTGAATATTTTAATTTTCCGTACAAAACCCTTTTGTAGGGGGACAGGCCCGACCGAAGTATTTATACGATCGAGGTCGGCTCGGGGAGGGTACCTTGATGTTCTTCGTGCTTTTCGAGTACCCTTGGATGTTCTGTGCGTTCTGTCCGGCGGAGGGTCTTGTGTTCTTGAAGCATGTGTCTCTGCCCTAGGTCCGGTTGTACACATGAACCATACTACTCACCTCTCTTCCCTGACTCTTAGAAGGTGTCCCAACGTTCCCGCTCATTTGGTTCTCCCACACAGTTCAGAAGGTGGTCCTTCTGAGGTGTCGGTCCGTCAAACGGGTGTTCCCGCTGCAGCGTTAGCCTTAGCGCTTTTGGTCCTTCAAGTCGCGCTCCCGCTGCAGAGCTGGCCTCATTTCCTCATTTTCGGTCCACCCGAATGCTGCTTCCCCTGCAGCGCCAGCCTCATCTCAAAATTGTCGGTCCTCAATGGTTTTCCGTCTGCACCGTTCACGTAGCCATTGTATGCAAGTGGTTGCTATGGTATGTGCCACCAGTACGTGATTACATGGTTGGTTATGCAATGCACTGCTGTGATATAATCTGCTGGGATACGCATTGCCATGCCATGCAATGGCATGCCATGCAATGCCATGCCATGTGCCGCTATGCGATGCCATGGCTTGCGCTACAATGCTATGTTATGCAATGCTTGACTTCGCAGTGCTACGCCATGCTATGCATCGCATAACCTGTGTGGATCGTTGTCCTCTTCGAGTTCTGACTGTGCGAATGGATGGGGCTCTGCGCAATGGTACGTAAGGGATGGGAGGGAGGGGTAGGACGTCAGATCTGACGCGAGCACACCAAACTTGGCTCCCCCCATCTCCCCTCCTCTGCTTTCTACACTTAGTCCATGTGTTGATCATTCTCCCCTCTTCCCCTGAGGTCGTCCGGAAGATCTCCCGCCCCTTATCCGCGCCTTTTTTCCACAGCATTGGGCCGAATTGGTTTCTCCTATGTGAGTGTGTGTGTTACACACCGATGGCTGTCGGAGTTTCAGAGAGAACTGCTATGGCTGCGGTGTGGGCTATGCTCCCGTCGTGCAGAACGACGCTCTCGCATGAGCGTGGGCCACTTGTCTGGACCCCACAGGTCCCACGGGTCTCGCAGGCCCCGCGGGTCCCACAGGTCCGACAGGTCCCACGTAGTTTGTCCCTGCCCCTCCCCCTCTCCCGTCCTCTCTTCGCCCAGCCTCCTCCCCACTGCTCACCCTCGCTATCCCTCCTCGCCACTTCTCAGCCTCATGGTCTCGTCCTCCTCGTCTCACCCTTCCTCTGCGGGGGCGCGGGCGCTAGCCCTGGCCCACTTGCGCCGCCGAGGGCGACCGTTGGGCCGGGCGAAAGAATACCCTCCTCCACTCTCTCCCATGTTCGGCTGCGCGTAACGGTGACCTTTTCCCAGAGTGCACTCGCCCTGGCTCAGCCGGCGCCGGAACGGGAGTTGCTGCCCGCATCGCGCTGGCGCCACAAGTCTGCCTCGCTGAGGTTCGGGGCTGGCTTCCAGGTGCCACGTTCGGCGCGTTGAGCTAAGATGAGACTTGGCTTGAGGAGGAGGAGGAGGATGTGAAGGCACTCGTCATCTCTTCCCTGGCGCCAGCGCCGCGCCGCCACAGGAGAAGCATTTCGACCAGTACATCCAATTGCTTTTCGAGACCGACGACGAGTCGGACTGCGACCTTGGCCACGGGAGGGAACGGGGAGGGCAAGGGGGTGCGGGGAATCCAGAGAGCAGGGAGAGGGAGGAGCCAGACGAGACGGGGGAGAACGGGGCAGATGAAAGGGGGCCTGGGCCAGCGGGCATGGGGAGGGAGGAGACGGTAAGGGGGGATGGAGGGTGGAGGAGGAGCAGGAGGAGGAGGAGGAGGAGGAGGAGGAGGAGGAACATGAGGAGGGAGGCGGGCAGGGAGAGGCATGGGGAATGGGGGGGAGGCAGGGTGTGGGACGCGGGAGGTGGTAGCGGATGGAGGAAGGGGGGCGTGGTACAGGACGGGGGATGGAGATGAGGGGAGGAATGAGGGGGTGTTGAACGGAAGGGGTGCGAGCGGTGACGGGAAGCCATGGATCAGGAGGAAGGAGGCAGCGACAACCGTATGAGGATTTTGGAGGTGAGAACGAGAAGGATGAGTAGGACGAGAGGGTGCACAGGCACGAGGAGGAGAGGGCACGAGGAAGGAGTGCACAGCAGGGGTGACGAGGACAGCGCGGCGGTTGAGGAGAAGGACGAGGAGGACAAGGACGAGGGGAACGCGAAGGAGCCGTGGGACTGATCGGAGGTTGCTAAAGGGTATCCCCGGCCCAATGGTACCGCTCAAGTCTGGAGCCCCCCAGGGCGCCCTGGCCTCGTGGGGGGGTAGTCTGGAGGCCACGGGGGCCTCCTTGGAAAATCCTGGGGCGCTTTGGCTCCCGGGCCAGGGGCGCTCCTATCAGCACCCGAATTGAGGGGGGAGGAGGAGGAGGCGGAGGAGGAGAGGAGGCGGAGGGCGGGAGGAGCGGAGGAGGTGGCGGAGGAGGAGGAGGAAGAGCAGGAGCAGGAGGAGGAGCAGGAAGAGGAGGATGAGGAATAATGAGAAGAAGCAGAAGGAGTAGAAGAAGAAACATACCCATAATACTAGTAACACTAATATGAAGAGAAGAGAGGAGGAGGAGGAGGAGGAGGAGGAGGAAGAGGAGGAGGAGGAGGAGGAGGATTGAGGATTGAGGACTGAGGATTGAGGATTCGAGGCGGGGACCCCGTAGTTGCGGATAAGAGTGGGCGGGGACGTCGGCAGATTTTTACACATAATACAACGAGCCCGCCGCAGACGCCGATTTTTCGTTGAAGCAATGTTTGTGGATCGCGGGGTGAGTCGCAGGTGGGCCGCGGGTGGGTCGCGGGTGGGTCGCGGGTGGGTCGCGGGCGGGCTCACGGGTGGGTCGCGGGTGGGTCGCGTGTGAGTGGCGGGTGGGTCGCGGGCGGGTCGCGGGGTGGGTCTCGGGTGGGTCGCGGGAGGATGGCGGGTGGGTGCGGGGTGGTCGCGGGGTGAGTCTCGGCTGGGTCGCGGGTGGGTCGCGAGGCGGGTCGCGGATGGGTTCTTGGTGTGTCGCGGGCGGGTCGCGGGCTGGGTGGCGGGGGGACAACGACAACAAACAACAAACAACAACAAACAACCACCAACATCAACATCAGCAACAACACCAACACCAACAACACCAACAACAACAACAACAACAACAACAACAACAACTACATTATCATCAATCAACAACAAACGACGGGGTCCGTTATTCCCATTCCCAGATCTCCCGCCCAGTGAGGTCTTGCAAACACCTCTTCCGAGGAATTTCAACATATCCCGCCTCGAAAACGCATGCCCGCGCCTTGCTGCGCCGATGCGAGAGCGCCAGTGGAGCCCCAGCCAAGGGTAAAGCACAAGGCAGTATCGAGCGACAGGATTGCCTTGGTGGGGATGGGGGCTGTCGGCGGCGAGGCAAGGACTGAATAGAAATGGAGGAAGTCTCGAGCAGGGCCGCGGTTGTTGCTGGGGGCGGCGCCAATGCTGAAGAGAGCACAGCGCTAGTCCAGCGTAAAACAAAACTCGCAGGCGATTTCGTCTCCCCAAACCCTTGAGTTTTGCCCGAAAAGTTTGGCCGTTCAGCAGAAGGGGGAAACCCTGGGATACACCCCATGGGGGCTATCCAGACGCACCCCTATCGAGGATGGACGCCCCCCCCCATCGTATATCCTAGGGTTGGGCCCCAGATTTCCGGCCCATGCGAAAAACTGACAAGGCCTGAAATAGGGGTCGACCTACCCCCTGCTAAAAACGAAGTCTCTGGTGGGAGCGCTCGTTTTGTTGGGACGGCGGTTGTCGGCGGCGAGGAAGAACACCGCCTTGAGTAAGGAGGGAGGAAGTCTCGAGCGGGAGCCGTGGTTTTGTCGGGACGGGGGCTGTCCGCGGCGAGGAACAGCACCGTCCTTCGGAAAAAGGGAAGACGCCTCGAGCGGGAGCGTTGTTCCTGGGAAAGACGCCGAGTCCAAAGAGAATAAGGTGCATTTCCAGAGTAAAACGGGATGGAGTCTCGGGCGGGAGCGCTGGTTTTGTCGGAGCGGCGGCTTTCGTCGGCGAGGAGGAGCACCGCCTTGAGCAAAAAAGGAGAAAGTCTCGAGCGGGAGCGTTGTTGTTTGCAGGGGGCAGTGCCGATGAGAGATAGAGTAGCGCGCCAGTCCAGCGTAAAACGGGAGCAAGTCTCGAACGGGAGCGCTGGTTTTGTTGGGACGGTGGTTGTCAGCGGCGAGAAGGAAAACCGCCTTGAGTAAGAAGGGGGGAAGTCTCGAGCGGGAGCCGTGGTTTTGTCGGGACGGAGGCTGTCGGCGGCGAGGAACAGCACCGTCCTGAGGAAAAAGGGAAGAAGCCTCGAGCGGGAGCTTTGTTCCTGGGAGCGACGCCGATGCAAAAAAGAGTACAGTCGGGGCCTTGACCTAAGGAACCCAACATTTCCATAAGTTAAACTTCGATTTCCGATCGAAAACATAAGGAAAACCTGAGGCAAACTGCGAAACATTTGAGGAACGCGGAGCTCCTCCCCCCAAAAAAGGGTTCTTTCTTCAGGGCCCCGACTGTACGGCGCCAGTCCAGCGCAAAGCGGGATGGAGTCTCGGGCGGGAGCGCTGGTTTTGTCAGGACGGTGGTGTTCGGCGGCGAGGAGGAGCACCGCCTTGAGTAAAAAAGGGAGGAAGTCTCGGGCGGGAGCGTTGTTGTTGTAGGGGGCAGCGCCGATGAGAGAAAGAGTAGCGCGCCAGTCCAGCGTAAAACGGGAGTAAGTCACGAGCGGTAGCGCTGGTGTTGTTGGGACGGTGGTTGTCAGCGGCGAGCAAGAGCACCGGCCCTGAGTTAAAAGGGGAGGAAGTCTCGAGCAGGAGCGTTGTTGTTGTTGTTGGTGTTGGTGTTGGTGTTGTTGTTGTTGTTGGTGGTGTTGTTGTTGTTGTTGTTGTTGTTGTTGTTGTTGTTGTTGTTGATGTTGTTGTTGTTGTTGTTGTTGTTGTTGTTGTTGTTGTTGTTGTTGTTGAACATTATTTATTCTAAAGAATAATTATTGTTGGGCCCCCTGGTGCGCGCCCCCCCTGCGCCGCCTAGGCCGCAGCTACATTTTCATCATTTTCGTGAGGAAGCCTCAGAAAAGAGGGTGTGTACAGGATCCGGCTGTTTTGTTGTAATCCGCTTTCCCTTGCAAAAAACAATAGAAAATGACATTTCTTGTTCTAATATAATCAAATTTCAAGAATCCCTTGCAAAAAATAAGGTAAAGTGGACATTCGCGCGCGCAAGACGAAATCCTTCCAAAACCTTAGTGTTCGCAGCGATTTTAACATAAAAACATCAAAAAACCAATGGTTTTTCAACAACAAATTGTCAAAATCTCATCCCGCGCGCTCTTGCGGATTCGTAGGAAACCCAACACTTTTTAAACATTTCTGTCAAACGGGCTTTTGCGAGCAACTTTTTCGAACTTCTGCGACAACGGTTGCGCACCTGCCAGGGCCATCATCCCTGTCAAATAATACCATGCGGGACACATTCGTTTTTTCTTCGCGCGCGCACGCCGAAATCTCCAAAAACCATTGGGCTTCTTAAGAATTTTAGCACCGCGCATCATAAAATCACACGAATCGCACCGTAGGTCCTCGAAAAACACCTGCACGACTTTTCAAAATTTCTACCCGCGCGCGCTGTCCGAATCCTGTATCATGTACCATATGCATCATATGCAACAGATGTTCTGTGGAAGGCTTAACAACTTCTGTGGGTTAACAAGGCTTAACAACTTCTGTGGGTGTACGAACGTAGGCTTAACAACTTCTGTGGGTGTGTACTCCACGCCAGTGTAGTAGCCACGGTCGTCCGCAGGCCACGAAGTGAAGTGTCCGAACGTCATAGGGCGGGAAGCTGGGTGTGGGTGGTGGCGAAGAGTCGTGTGGATATTTGGTAGAGCTTGCACTGCCCCCCCACAAAGTGGGGGTATTGGCTGGCGTCGCATGAAAACCCTGGCACTGGTGAGAACACTGAGCGTTCGGGTAAAGTGATTGTTGTTGTTGTTGTTGTTGTTGTTGTTTGGGGGCTGGTTTTGGTGCCCTCCAAACCGCTCGAATGTGAGCTTAATGTTTAATGAAAATCTAGCAGGCGCCGAGGCGAGAGCGCCAAGGCGCCTCGGGGGGGGTCCAACAATAGTATGTAAGTATTCAATAATTGATACTCGACAGCAACATCAGCATCAACAACAGCATGAACGTTAACATGAACAACAACAATACTTGTAATATTTTTCGCTCCTATTTGCTCACGCGCTAACCAATACGTATACCCCGAACCCTCGGTACCCGCCATCGCCGTCTTCGATCGTACCCCCTTGGGGGTATATCTTCTTTAATTGCCACGTGTATTTAGTGCAACCCCCAAAACAAGGGAAGAAAGGACAGGTGGAAAGGGGAGGGATAATAATGGAGAACGAGACAAATTAGCAGGAGGGGGACAAGGAGCAGAAAACAACTGGTAGAACCAGACGGGCACATCGGGTGTGCAGACCCATAGCGGGCAGGTCGGGAAGGCGGGCCCAGGCGACGAGGTCGAGCAGGCGGGTTGCTGAAGCATGGGTCCTGCATGAATCGCGAGGAAGTCTTGAGCGATAGCGCGATCTCTAGGTAAATCGGGAGAAAAACCAGCGCGGGCCACGAAGTGCGTACAATCCGAGGCCACAGAGGGCAGCGATGGGGCCACTGAGGGCAGCACCTGGGCCACGAAGGGCAGCGAGGGGCCACAAAGGGCGACAGCGGGGCCACGAAGGGCATGCATATGGGGCCACGACGGGCGCGAGCGAGCGGGGGCCACGAAGGGCATACAATGCGGGCCACAAAGGGCGACAGCGGGGCCACTGAGGGCAGCATTGGGGCCACGAAGGGCAGCCAGGGGGCCAGGAAGGGCGACAGCGGGGCTACAGAGGGCATGCGTATGGGGCCATGACGGGCGCGTGCGAGCGGGGGCCACGACGGGCATATTATGCGGGCCACAAAAGGGCAGCGAGGGGGCCACGAAGGGCAGCGAGCGAAGGCGACCGTGGAACCAGTACGGGCAGCGAAGGGCATCGAAGGCGGGCGAAGGGCAGCGAGCGGCGACTGCAGTCATTAACGGGCTGGTCGGGCGGGCAGGCCCCGACGGGCGGGTCGAGCGGGCGGGTCGTTGAAGCGTGAGTATTGCTTGAACCGCCAGGCAATAGCGGGAGCGCGGTTCCTGAGTGTTGAGGACCGGCATTTAGATAAATTGTGAAGAAATATCAAGCGAAGTGGTTCGTTGGTAAGTTGCGAGGAAGTCCTTAGCGAGAACGCGATTCCGCAATACATTGTCAAGAAGTATCAAGCGGGAGCCGCGATTCGGTGGTACATTGGCAGAGAGTCCCATGCGAAAGCGCGACTCTTCAATCAATTGTGAGGAAGTATCGGGCGGCCAGCCGTTGTTCTTGTAAACCGGGGGCCAACGACACAGTTTTAGCCTCAAGATTTTCCCTGCTAAAAAATATGGTGCGAGCCCTGGGAAAAAGGCACTTTAATCGAAGAATGCAATGTGCACCAGGCGGGGGGGAATCAACAACCACTATGCTTCAGAAGCGAGAGCTCGTTAACAACAACAACAACAACAACAACAACAACAACAACAACAACAGCAACAACAACAACAACAACAACGACAACGACAACAACAACAACACCAACACCAACACCAACAACAACAACAACAACAACACCAACAGCAACAACAACAACAACATCCGCACCGCAGATCTTCACTCTTCAGTCACGCGCCCAGGGACAATGAGTGACTTTTCGGATCCTTCACTCTGACATAACCACCGCCTGGAGGATTGATCTTTTCGGACTGGACATATTCGTGCCCCCTTGGGGCCAAATAGATCCACATCCACCGCCAGCTGGGTCCCCCAGATTTTTGTTCCCAGGCGGTGGATATAGATGAATCCCCGCCTCGCAGATGAAGAGGAGGAGAGGAGGAGGAAGAAAAGGAGGAGGAGCAGGAGGAGCAGGAGAAGGAACTCCACCTCCGCGGCCCCGCGACCGCAGGACACGGCGCCCCCCTCGCCGCGGCCATCGCCGGGGGACCTCGCCCAGGGCGCCTCGTTCGCTTCCGGCGCGTCGCCGACCGCGTCGAGACAAGGCCCGAGCGCATGCTCCCTGGCGATCGTTGTTGTACTCGTTGTCTAGCCGACGTGCGCAGGCCCTCGCACCCCTCCCTCCCCTCCCACGGAGTGGCTCTTGGCTGTGTTTGGCGCCTGTCTCGAGCAGGCTGAGTCTTCCTCACAGGTCGGGGGTGGAAAGAACCCCCAACAGTGACACGTCGATTACTTAGTGAATTGTCCGTTCTCGGTTCTCGAGAGGGCGCCGCGGCCGTCATTTTCCAGGCCTGCGCCCGCCAGGTTTGGGCCCGAGGTCGTTTTCATGAAACCACGCGTTACTAAAGGGAGGTCTCTCCATCCCCGAACAGGACGCATTGCTGCAAACAGTCGCATTGGGCAGAGGTCCGGAGCCAAACCCACCCCCACCTCCCCCCCCTCTCCGCCCAGTGACGAGACGCCGAAGAAGAAAACGTTCACCTGTCGGCATGGGGGAAGCGGGTCCCGAGGGAAGCAGGTCCTGAGGTGTTTCGCCGCTTTCGAGCTCTCAGGGCCCTCCGAGGGCCACTGGGACTGTCAGAGAACGGTTCTGGGGGAAGGCTTCGGGGTCCAGGCCCGGTTTTCCTCATCCCTCAGGCTCTGTTTCCCCGATGCTATCCCCCTGTCCGTCCATCTGTCATCTCCTCTCGGGTGGGTGGTAATGGTAAGTCGGGCACGTCCCTCTACGGGAGGAAGATTTAAGACAAATAGAAAATAGTCTGGGGGCGATGTTACGAGTATTTCTGACTATGTTTGACAATTTTTAAATCTGTTTTCCAATCGCGTGTAGGAGGACATTCCCGACCACACTGTAATGGGGGGCGACCTACATGGCGGGTGAAGAAAAGAGCTCCTTTAGGGCCTTCGTCTTCACACCCCAGGTAAGTCACCCTCCCATTACCACCCGCTCGAACCTCCCCACTTGCAAGATCATTCCGCGATTCGACGCCTTCCTCTCTCTCTCTCTCTCTCTCTCTCCTCTCTCTCTCTCTCTTTTTCTCTCTCCCGAAGACGAATGATCAGTAAACACAATATTTCAGAGCTCCGCGCGGATTTCTTGGATCGATGTTGAAACCCTCTTGCTGCGCCTCCGGCGCGACCCCTGGCGCGCTCCGCGCGCCAGGGAGGGGGGTCCAGCGCAGGTCCAAGAAGTCCGCGCGATCATCAGAAAATCTATGTTGACGCAGCTTATTCGTCTTCTATCTCTCCCCTGATTGCGTTCAGGCTGGGAACCCGCCGCTCAATCACTCGGCTCTGATCTCTGCACGTGGCTTCAGGGCTTTTACTCGTGCCTCTTCCACTTTTGATTGTCTTCAGATGCTCTGAACGACGCTCTCGATTGGGCACCTGATACACTTCAAGCCCTCTGCAACTAGTCACCACCAATGCTTTTTGTCCTATACCCTGACCGCGTCCAGGCCGATAATCCGCCCCTCCCGCCTGTGTATCGCTTACGCTGGGTTCCCAGGGCCTCCTTCACGTGTGCTCTCCACACTGGCTCAGAACGTTTTCGGTCGTGCCTAATGGCGCTCTCGTCTTGGCACCTGCCGCTACTGTCCTTCTGCAGCTACTCATCGCGAGTACTGCTCCACTGTCCTCTCCTCCCTGCCCAAGTCCAGGCCGATCACCGTTTCATCCCGCATGTTGCTCCTACGTGTACGCATGGCTTCCCGGCTGTGTCTTGTTTTTTGTTTGAAACAGGGTGCAGATAGTTTGCGACCGTTTCGTATGGCGGTCTCGCTCCGACTCCGGCGCTTGCCACACTTCTTGCCCTCGGGTGTGTCTCGCGCAGGACGGCCGACAGCGACACAACCTCGGGGCATCGAAGGAGCCGGCCAGGATACGTTCTCCGCTTTCGCACAGGTGCCGCCGCCCCTGCGCCACCGCCTGGCCTCGTGGCCGCCGTGAGGCGGAAGTCACGAAAAGCTGCGGTGACCACACACCGTCGGGGGGGTCAGTGGGGATTCGGGGTGAGCCCACGGTTTCGGGACTCGGGACGCTCTCCGAGGATGCCTCGTGGTCTTGACCGTCCACGAAGGAGGAGGAGGAGGAGGAGGAGGAGGAGGAGGAGGAGGATGAGGAGGAGGAGGAGGAGGGAGGGTGAGAAGGAGGAGGGAGGGAGGGAGGAGGAGGAGGGAGGGAGGAGGAAGAAGCCGCGAAGGGCCTCCCGCGGGCGAGGCCCCAGTCACAGGACACCTCAGCCTCCGCGAGCCCCCCTCACGACTCGGGGCCCGCCCCCCATGGACGACACGGGCGCAGCCTCCCTCGGCGGCGATTCCCTTCCTCCCCTCCTCCTCCTCCTCCCCTCCTCCTCCTCCTCCTCCGCCTTCCCCTCCTCCTCCCTCCCTCCCTCCTCCTCCTCCTCCTCCTTCTCCTCCTAGTCCTCCTCCTCCTCCTCCTCCTCCTCCTCCTCCTCCTCCTCCTCCCTCTTCGCCACCCGGACCGACTTCGGGGGTGGACAGAACCTCCAACAGTGACACGTCGATTAGGGAAGTGTCCGTTGTCGGTTCTCGAGAGGGCGCGAAGTGGCCGTCATTTTCCAGGCTTGCGCCCCCCCAGGTTTGGGTCTCGGGTCGTTTTCACGAAACCACGCGTTACTAAAGGGGGGTCTGTCCATCCCCGAATACTGTCAGGGGCAACGTTAGGGGGGCTAGGTTCAGGGGGGGAGGCATCGACCCTCCGTGGCCCATTTTCAGCGCCGATAGGGGGCCTGATCAGCCCGCCCCCGCTCAGGAAACTGGCGGATTCGCCGTCGGAGGCGCAAGTCTCGCAGATCTACTTACGCAGGACGAGAGATTTTCCTCTTGAGGTGAAAATGGCCATGAGGAGTTCGCGAGACAACGGGGATGAATCGCGATGAATCGCGATTCTCGCGATTCATCGCGCCTGGGGATGTATCGGCGATGAATCGCCGATTCCGGGTCGATGGTTTCCCCCCCGGGGCCAGTCCCCCCCCGATCGTTGCCCTTATATCGCAGGCCCCCGACCCCCGACTTTCCCACTGAAAAAAGAAGAATCGGCGAGAAAATGACGGAACAACTCAGGGATGCACCTCCAGGGAGCTACTCGGACGCACCCTGGTCGAGGATGGACTCCCCCATATTTACATCCCCGAGTCGGGCCCACAGTTGATGGTCCGCTTGAACACCCCGCGAGGTCGGGGACAGGGGTCGACATACAGTCAACACTGATAGTAAGGATGATCGACTTCCCAAGGGTACCCTGGCATCCTTGCCTCTTCGGTCATCTTCGGCCCATCCTCGACCACCTACGATGGCCAGCACCGCTCGAAAGCTCCGGCATGGGCGTCCAACGCTCTTGCATCCTTGTCGCGCATCCTCAATACCACCTCCTCCTGCGCCATTCTACAGTCAACGCGCCTGGTAAGGACGCGCGCCTTCATCTAGGGTGCCCTTGTGTCCTTGCCTCTGCGGCCCATCCTTGCCGTTTTCATTGGTCTCCCGCCGCCCAAACATTCCTATCTTCGGCCTCCAAGGTGATCGTTTTCTTATTCATTGCTTTGCCGATCGGCGCGGGCCCTCGCACCCCCTCCCCCCCCCACCCTCATGGAGTAGATCTTGGCTGTTTTGGGCGCCTGTTTCAAGCAGGTGGGGTCTCCCTCACAATGGACGCATTGCTGCAAACAGTTGCATGAAGCAGAGTTCCGGAGCCAGACACCCCCCCTCCCCTCCCCTTCCGCCCAGTGTCGAAACCCCGAATGAGAAAACGCTCACAATGGCAGAGGAGGAGGAGGAGGAGGAGGAGGAGGAGGAGGAGGAGAAGGAAGAGGAGGAGGAGGGAGGGAGAGGAGGAGGAGGAGAGGAGGAGAGGAGGAGGAGGAGGAAGGAGCGAGGAGGATGAGGAGGGAGGAAGGGAGGGGGAGGGAGGGAAGGAGGAGGGAGGCAGAAGGGGATGGAGGATGGAGGAGGAGGGAGGAGGAAGGAGGAGGAGGAGGAGTGTCTGGTCGAGTCGGCGTGCCCACTCCTCACCTTTTGCGGCACATCGTCTGCACCCCTCCCGCCCCGGGGCTCGCGCCGCCCAGCTGTGGCGCGGGGGGACCCGGGGTCGGCGCGGCCCGCCCAGTGCTTCGGGGGCAGCAGGACCGGCGGCGAGGGGCCCCCCCCCCCTCCACCACCTCCCCCCCCTCCACCTCCTCCACCTCCTCCACGGCACCACCACCTCCACCCCTCCACTCCTCCTCCCCCTCTCCTATCCCCCCTCCTCCCCCCTCCCTCCCTCCTCCCTCCTCTCCCCTCCTCCTCCATCCTTCTCCTCCTCCTCCTCCCCCTCTCCTCCTCCTCCTCCCCCTCCTCCCTCCCTCCCCTCCCCTCCTCCTCATCCCTCCCCTCCTCCCTCCCTCCCTCCATCCCTCCCTCCCCTCCCTCCCTCCCGCCCTCCCACCCTCCCCTCCCTCCCTCCCTCCCTCCCTCCTCCCTCCCTCCCTCCCTCCCTCCCTCCCTCCCTCCTCCTCTCTCCTCCTCTCCTCCACCTCCTCCTCCTCCTCCTCCACTCCTCCTCCTCCTCCTCCTCCTCCTCCTCCTCCTCCTCCTCCTCACCCTCCTCCTCCTCCTCCTCCTCCTCCCCCTCCTCCCTCCCCGCGCAGGCCTAGAGGTCGGCACCAGCACCAGTATCGGCGGTGTGCCTCCACCGAGAGAGGAGGATCCCGACCTCGGTTCTGGTCGAAGTAGCCTGGCTTCCAAGTTCCAAGGTTACCGAAATAGCACCCCCCACGCGGAAATCCGGGATCATTTTCCCCTCGTGGAGGCAACTCCTTGTGTTGTTGGTGCCCCTTTCCGGGCCTCCTTCCCCCCCCTCTTCTTGCCACTCGTCTTCTCTCAGGAGGGGGAAAACACAGACACGAAGAATCGCCCACTCTCCAGGAATTTCTGGGAATCTCTGGGAAGTGTGGGGGGAAGGACGAAACCTTTTGAGAAAATATAAGAAAATAGTTATATGGGGAGACCGGGGATGTGTGTCTGTTCATTTCTGTGTCCCTGGGCCCCTTCATCCTCCTCCCCTTTCACAGAGAAAAAACAACTGCACAGTCATAGACTTCCGGCTCCCCGCGGATGTCTTGGATCGGCGTGGAGACCCCCCTGGCGGTGCCTCCGACGCCACCCCTGGCGCGCTCGGCGCGCCAAGGAAGGGGGGCCTCGCGTCGATCCACGAGATCCGCGCGGGCCTCCGACCGTTTCCTCCGCTTACGCGCTGTCCTGTTCCTCCGGCTTCCTCGCCTGACGTGTCGGGTGCAGCTAAGGAGTGCCCCTGGCCCACGGTGCCCCCAGCTTGTCGCTCCCCTCTGGAGCCCCTGGGGCCCTCTGGGCCTCGCGAGGGGTGCCCTGGAGGCCGTCTGGGCCACCCCGAGAATCCTAGGGGGGGTGCCTTGGGCCAGGGGTACTTCTAGCAACACCCGAATGTGGTGGATCGCTCCCGCCGCGTCTCCTGTCGGCTCTGCGCTGTTGGCCGCTTGCTCCCTGATCGTGCTGATCCTGTTTTTTTCTCTTGCTCCCTCGTTCTTGGGACGCGCCAGATTCGTAGCGAGCCATACCCAGAATCCAGAATCCCCTCTTCCTTCCTCCCCCTCGTCTTTGTCGTCGTCGTCGTTGTCCTCCCCCATGCCTTCGTCTCAAGCAGCCCATCCTTATCGCGCCACGGGCGTTGCGCCTGAGACCTCAAGATTGTCAACGCAAGAAGCTTAACAACTGCAACAGTTACATTGATGGAGGGCGGGCCGTTTTAAAGATGGGGCTTTCGCACTGGCGCCATGTACTCTCGCCTCAAACATGGATGGAGTGCGGCTCATTTTCAAAGTGGGGCTCGCTTTGGCGCCGCGCACACTCGATTTCAAACCCCAACAGATGCAGGGAAGGAGGCCTGCCCTTTTCTGCCAAAATTGAGATTCCGCTTGAGATATCTTCACACGTAACTGCACAACTGTTTATTGCCCAATTGATGCACGGATGCCTGGCGGCTCATTTTCAAACATGGGCCATCGTTTGAGTTTTTTCACACGTCTTTGCAACAGTTACTCGGATGGAGGACGGTCGCTTTTCATAGCCAGGTTGCCATTGGGCGTTAATTGATTTATATAACCATACCTTACTGGACGTATGCAGGACAAACTTTAACAAACGCACAAAGGCGATCCCACCATAACTGCAAGAGTATAGGACAAGGCCGACCCAGTAGCCTATTACAAGAGTTACATAAGCATTACATTCAGAAGGTTTCACAACACACGATGGGCGAGTGAGGCAAATTGAACCAGCGACTGGGGGAAGCGAGAGGCGCATTCCAACAGTTATGCAATATATGGAGGCATGCTTCAATCAGCAGGCCTAAGAAATTGCAAATCTACACCGCTGAGCAACGGTCTCCACCCTTTGGATTCTTTGTGGCTGATGAAGGCTGATCGAGCAAGGCTGGGTGCGTTTTATGCAAACTGCTTGCGAAAGAAGTTGGGACTACCTCATTCGTGCTTTCGGGACTGTCGCATGCTACCGTGCGGGCGCGTGCCGGTTCCAAACCATCTTCGTCAACATTATGTGATCGCCAAAGCAAGCTATGTGGAGCAATTGTCTGACCAGCGCACGATTCTTTGGTGAAGCGGGTGGTGCGCAAAGCAGGTGTCGCGCCGAAGGATCGGGCTCTACGCGCATAAGGGGACCCCAGCAGCAATGGGCGCCATCCGTATGCGATCTCGGGCACCTGAGCCTCGCCTCCTCGCACATCCTCTCTCCTCCGCCCCTCTGCTCTCTCCTCGCCTCGCCGCTCGCCTTGCCTCTCTGCTCTCCCCTCTCCTCCCTCCTCGCCTCTCCCCTCCTCCTCCCCCCTCGCCTCTCTGCTCTCTCTCTCTCTCTCCTCGCCTCTCAGCACTCCGTGCCCACCCTCGCTCCTCGCCTCTCTCTGGTCTCTCTCCTCCCCAAGGCGCCAGCTGCGGCCTCGGCAGCTTTTTCTCTCTCCGCCTGCGTCTTTTTCTGCCCGCGCGCCCCGTTCAACGGTGCGCGGCTCTCTCTCGTGTGCCTCGGCCTGCGCTGCAGGCCCTGCGGGGCGCTCGTCTCGACAGGGCAGCGCCTCGTGCAGTGAAGCATCGCAGGCTTAGAGGTTGACACCAACACCAATTTCGGTGGTGTGCCTCCACCGAGGGAAGAAGATCCCGATCTCGGCGATGGTGTTAATATTATGGCTTCCAAGGTGGCCGAAATATTACCACCAACACCGAAATCTAGGATCACCTCCCCAATGTGGAGGCAACCCCCTGTGTTGGTGTTGGTGCCCATTTCCAGGCCTCCAAAAGCAGCATGGTTGCGGGGTTTAGTCGGGCATGTCCTTCTGCAGGAGGAAGAGTGAAGAGTAGTAAAAAGATTGTCTGGTGAGCATTCCTCCGACCCTTCCTGATACATTCTTTGACTATTAAAAGAGTTGCCTGCCGAAATCCGTCTCTAGGAGGACATGCGCGACCGAATTGGAGGGGTCGAGCGAGGAGGAGACTTGAGACGGGGTGGTATGTTGCAGCATCGTTGGCACATCGTGGGCTCGCGTAGGTCCTCCTCTTCGGTGGGTCGGTCGAGCAATTGCGGTGGACATGAGGCGGTCGCTGCCTCTCCCTGGGAGCAAGCAGTTCAACGGGCGAGCGAGGAACATCCAGGAGCCAGCCCACCAAGACCCCTCCTTCCGCAGCCTCGCACGACCAAGGGTCGTCCTGCTGAACATGCTCTGTAGTCCAAGAGGTGCGTGCGGTAACGAAAGACGGCATGAGCACCCGTTCCTCTCGTCCACACGAGCCTCCTCCACCCGACTCGGTGCCTGCCTCCCCCCGCCCCGTCCGTGAGGCTCCTGCAACACCTGGCATCGCTCGGACGTGTGTATTTTTTCTCGGCTCCGTGGTCGTCCGCATCTCCTGGGCCCCTCCTTACCAGTCGGTGGCACCTGGTGCATTTCGCCTTCCTGGTCTTCCTCTACCTCGCGGACGTTGACTTGCTCACGGCCCTCGTCACGCAGCACTCGAGGATGGTTTTCTTGGCGCGCCGATGACGGCAACACCAATCCACTTCCCCTCTGGGACCGCGCCCCCTGCTCCAGTCCATGGCGTACCTTGTCCTGTGCAAGATCTTCGGCACCGCCTGTTTTCTGAACCCTCCGGCCGCCTGAGGCCCCGCCCGCCCGCGCCCTGTCTCCCCAATTCGGGCTACCCACGTCCCGTTTAGCTCTTGACCGGAAGGGGCCCGCTCCCGACCCGCAGACCAAACAAACAAGAATTTTTTCCCGGCGAGGACCCTGGAGGACCATCGTGGACCATCGAGCAAACAAAACACGTACGAAACCGAAAAATGCACGGGAACTGGGCGTCCGAGCGACGGCAAGAACATGGCCCCGGGGGAAAACCGGGGGTTACGATTGACTTGCCCGATCGCAGAGGAACCCTCGCGCGCAGAGCGTGCGAAGGACGCCCAGGGGCTCGGCACCTTTCAAGCTTCCGACGGAGATCTTGATCCAGTGCTACGATTCTCTTGGAGATGGCAGGGTTCAATTCTCGCGACGCAGGGGCCTGCGAAGCGACGCCAGAACGTAAGCGATGGCTTCTCGGGCGTCTCCTGAGGCTTCGCGGGGGTCTCCCAAACGCGGCGCCGGCGATGCATTTCGGACGTGTGGGGCTCGCGGAGTTCCGTGGAGTGGCCCTTTGTGGATTTCTGGGGGGCGGTGCCAGGGGCACGTGGCCCGTCGCCACTGTTTCGGAGGTGTGGGGACGTGCTGGGGCTCCCCTGCATAGAGTGACGTAGCGACAACCTCAGACATGGAATCGTCTGGACATTTGCTTGGTATCGCTCGGGCGTGTGCATTTCCTCGGCGAGGGCCATCGCCATCGAGGAGCACTTCGGGCCGTCTTGCGAACAAGCAAACACACGAAGCCGAACGTTGCACGGGGAATGGGCGTCCGAGCGATGGCGATTCCGATGCCGGGAGACTACGCTGCGGTATGTCTGGGGGCGGGGCAGCCTGGCGCTGCAGGATGGGCCCAACTGCCAGGCACTTTGGGGAATTGGGCATGGACTCGCGCTCGTGGGGAACTGGGCATCCTCCTCCTCCTCCTCCTCCTCCTCCTCCTCCTCCTCCTCCTCCTCCTCCTCCTCCTGGGGGTTTCTCTGGGAGGCTCTTGGGGTCAGCTTCGGGCGGGGGGCTCGGAAGGCCCTCCTTACTTTCCCCGCATGGGGGGGGGGGGGCAGCAACCCCAAAAGCCTCGGGTGAGCTCGTTCCTGGGCTGTCTGAAGCCATCCCCCCACCCTCAAATGTACAATTGTGGTCCTTGCGGGGTGGGGTGGGGATATGCGGGGAACGATCTCATGCGCCTGGTGGCCCCAAATGTGTCGGCGGATTTCATCTGTTCTCTCTGTTTTCCGAGACGGGAATTTCTCCATAACCACCGCCTGGGGGATCGATCTCCGCGGACCTTCACAGGCGGTGGATCTGGATGTATTCGGGCCCCCAGGGGGCAACGCGTATTTGGTTATCCACCGCCCGCCGGGGCACCAGGGCGTCGGTTCCCAGGCGGTGGATATGGATGAATCCCCGCCTCGTATGTTTCTCTTTCTCTCTCTCTTTGCTTCTTTTCTTCCTCCTTCCATCATCCTCCTTATCGTTTTCCTTGCTCGCCCTCTCCTCCTCGTCCGCCCTCGTCACCTTTTCCCTCTCCCCCTCCCCAGTTCCCGCCCTGTGCCGCTCGGCTCGGCCGTGGTAGGCAGCGCACGCGGCGAGGAGAAGAAGATTGGTTTCAAGGAGCTCCCCCCCGCGGCCTGGTGCCGAGTGGTACATCGGGGGAGGAGCTGATGGGCCCAGGGGGGCCCCTCCCCCACCTCCCCCCCCTCCTCCCTCCTCCTCCTTCCTCCTTCTCCTCCTCCTTCCTCCTCCTCCTCCTTCCTCTTCCTTGCTCCTCCTCCTGCTTTCTCCTCCTCCTCCTCCGCCTCCTCCTCCTCCTCCTCCTCCTCCTCCTCCTCCTCCTCCTCCTCCTCCTCCTCCTCCTCCTCCCCCTGGTGGGATGGAGGGCACGGGGGTGGTCCAGGTCGCCCAGATGGCGCCAGAGCAGATGAGGTTTGAAGGCACCGCATCGCCGATGCACCGGTGGTGTTGTACGACCCAGATCTCAAGTTTTGTCCGCCCCCCAATGTATCGGCGACGCGGTTTGACCTTCCCGCCCAGTCTACTCCAGCCCCATCTGGGCGCCTTAGAGGAGGAGGAGGAGGAGGAGGAGGAGGAGGAGGAGGAGGAGAAGCAGCAGGAGGATGAGGAAGAGGAGGAGGAGGGGGAGGAGAAGGGGGAGGAGGGGCAGGAAGCGTGAAGGGGGAGGGAGCAGCGGGAGGACATGTGGAGGAGGAGGAAGAGGAGCAGGAGGAGCTGGGGGAGGAGGAGATGGAGGAGGAGGAGGAGGAGGACCAGGTCGACAGAAAAGCTGCACAGAGATGTACTTTCGGAGGTCCACGCGGACGTCTTGGGTTGGCGCTGGGGCCCCCTGGCGCCGCCTCTGGCGCCTCCCCTGGAGCGCTCCGGACGCTCGCCCGGGGCTGGGCTCCAGCGCTGGTCCAAGAAGTTCGCGCGGAGCTCGACCGTTGATGGTTGTGTCGTCCCTTTTTTCAATCAGAGTAAACTTGAAGAAGACGATCCATGGAGAGGAAGCATGGTGTCACATCTTTTCCAGACGTCTGAAACATGTCTCAAACATGGTTTGAACACGTAAACAACATATTTCCAACATGTCAAGAACCTTATTCAATCGCTTCGCTCATTCCGCCGGCCCGTATTGTGCCATCGCAGGCGTTTGCTTGCGCGTTCGTGGCCTCTTGGAGCCTCGGTGGGGCCGTTTGGGGCCTCTTGGCGCCTCTTTTCAGGCCTCTTGGAGAACTCGGGAGGCCTCCAGGGGGCCTCCTGAGCTCTCGTGACGGTCTCTTGGGGGGCTTTCGGCGGGCTCTTGGCGGTATTTGTTGGTCCTCTTGGGGCCTGGGGCCTGACGTTGTTGGTCCTCTTGGGGCCTCACGGGAGCTTATTGGGGCGTCTTGGGGGTGTCTTGGAGAGTCTCTTGGGGCCTCTTTCGGGGTCCTGGGCGCCTTCTGGGGCGGAGGGCTCGATTTTTCAGTTCTCGGTTCCCTTCTTGAGCCCCTCTTGGGCCCGTCTTGGGGCCTCTTGGTCCGCCTTGGGCAGCACTTGGGCCGTCTGGGGGGCGCTCTTGGGCCGCTCCGGGGCCGTCTTGGGAGCCTCGTGGGCCGTCTTGGAGCAGTCTTGAAGGCCTCTTGGGCCCTCTTGGAGCGTCCGGAAGCGCAAAGGCCAGAACGCAAACAAACATCGAAAAAACCAATGAAAATCAACGATTTTGGCAACTTGGGGCCCTCTTCGGAGGCCTCTTGGAAGGCCCTTGGAGCGTCTTGGAGGCCTCTTGGGCTGTCTTGGGGCCATCTGGGGCGTCTTCGGGCGATCTTTGGCCGTCTCGGGCCTCTCTTGGACCGTCTAGAAAGCTTCTCGGGGCCCTCTTGGACCGATCTGGAGCCCTCTTGGACTCCGAAACAGAGCTCCGGCATCTCTGACCCGACCTTGCCGGGGACTTGCTGGGGACTTGCCGAGACCTTGCCGGGGTACTTTTCGCCCGGGGACCCCCAGGGGCCGCCCCGCGCGCGCGAACTAGAAATACTGTTAACCAGGTACCGGAGATCTTAGCACGCCCTGGCCTGTTGGGCCGGCGAATTTCAACATTTTAGACCCAGGTTTTACTCAATGGTCCGGTAGTGACAGGGTGTGCATTGTCGTGCCATCCGCGAGAGTAAACCCAAGATGCACCAACGATGCTGCAGTATGCCCACCCGCCCCAGGAGAGACGAGCGCCCCATGGCCCTGCAACATTCAGTCGGGAACCTCGCTTTGACGAGGAGCTGCCATCCGCCAGTCGCACAACTCCAGGAAGTTCCTCTTGAGCCATATTGGATCCATCCTTGAGGCGTCATACGCCCGTCGGAGGCGACACGGCGAGACGATGTATCTTCCTTGGGTATCCGAAGTCTTCGGGCTTCTCGGCATTTTTGGGAGGTTCCGTGGCCACTTGAGCCGTTTGGGGGTGGGCTTGGCCGCGACCAATTCCACCCAGATGATCTTGACTCGGCCGCTGTCAATTCCTCTAAATCTAGCTTGCCCCTGTCAATTCCATTTAATTCAGTTTGCCGCAGCCAACTCCACCTAGACTAAGTAGGTCTGGCCGCACCGCTTCCTTCCTTGCTCGCAAACAGGCCTCCGCATCCTCCCATGTTTTGGCACCCATTGTGCACAGGCAGGGCAGGGATGAGCAGAATGAAGAGTACAGGGCGCAGACGGGAAGCCAGGAGCCAGGAGTCACAACCACCCAATTCGAATTTCTATTTGGATAGTGTTACACGGTTCGGAACCATTCCATTGGCCAATGATAGATTCGAATCCGAGTGTGAACCATCTATCACGTCTAATTTGATTGTGTCAGCGTCGTTGATACAACTACCCAGTTCGAACATGTACCTGGATAGTGTTTCGCTGCGCGATTCAGCTTTCACGGTTATCCAAGTGTATTGTCTAATTACTTGTGCGGTGGCGTACGGTCGCAGACCAGTTATTTGTCTAGTTAATATCGGTATACGGTCATAGACCATAGCCCCACCCACATCTATTTTTCGAACTGCTTATGTATTTGCATATGTTCGTTGAGCATTTGGTGAATCGTAAAAGCGATGAGTCAGTTTAAATGGCATAAGTACGCATTGCTTCACGGTTTTCGATTGGTTGGGCGTCCAACTATAATTTCTACTTGGACCTTGGTCTTCGATGCTCGACAGGACCATTGCCACATTATACTGTATACTTGGGTAGAAACTCATTGTTCCAAGCAGTACCGCAATCCAAGAAGAGCGTCCAGTTGGATCGTGTTCTACGGTTTTAGGCAACACGACCATCCAATCCTATCGTGTCCTTGGATAGTGCTCCACTCTCGTAGACAAACAGCTGCCATAATGCTCGAACATACAATTGCTTTGTTTGGATTGTCGCCGACCGTACGCCACAACGTAGCTAGAGTCTCTGACGGGATGTAGCTCTTTACCAGGTCGAGTTATTTGGTAGCGTTGCTGACTCCGACCGTCTTCCACTGTATAGCTGGAGAGTAGCACTGCATATTTCATGGCCCAACATCGCTGACCCGATTTTGTTTGTAAAACAATAGGATGGGCCTGGAGTGTCTTGGAGGACTTCCTTCCTGATTTCGAAGTGAGTTTCGTGCGGATTGGTTTGGCCAGGATTGAAGCCTTAAACAAGTCCACGTGAAATTCACTTCGTTTTTCGTTCGCCGTTTCCGAGTTTTGCATTGACAGAAATCCACGCCAAGAATCCGCTGCAGCACACCTGCAAGGTCGGCGCAATGTCCTATTGGGATCGGCGACGCCATTGAGCACTATTATTCTAAATCAGCAGTTGTATTGTCTACAACCCTGCAAATTCAATTTCCAGTTATACCACGGTATGATTGCATCACTGCTCGTCGTCAACAGCATGCGCACTATATAATCATAAGCTCAGACTGTGTAGTGATACGTCAGCCGGCATAGAAACATCAAACACATGATTCTTCAGTTGGGGTACCTACCTTTCTAGTGCTCTTGCCAATGCAAAATCATCGGAAGGTAGTCGTAGTCCGTAATGTTTCCAGAGTCGTGGATTTCAACACATTCAACACAGAAGTTCTTATTGGGCAGTGCCTAATAATGTTGTTCGGCAGTGCCAGCACCCACTTAGAAGTTATATCTGAATATTGTTACGCGGTGTTAGACGGTACAACCAGCGAGCTACGATGTACGGTTGTCAGTTTTAGACAGGATTTCGACCAAGGTATAATGTATGATTGGATAGAGTTCCGCTGCTTGCAGACAGTACACACGACCCAGTTAAAAGTTGTAAGGGATCGTGCCCAAAGGGTGTAGAAATACCATTGTCACCCTCTCCCTGCCCGACCGCGTGTTATCCAGAAGTCCTCGTTCCTCGCCCTTTCCCGTTTCTCTCCCACTTGCCACGCGAAATTCCTAGATTTCCCCACGCATGCAAGCGACGATTTTTCAATGTGCTCGACTGTCGGACTGTGTGTTCCATACGCCTGCCTTTTAGAGGGCCGCCCTTCGGGGGCGGCATGCGGGCCGTACCGCATCGCATCGCACCACTCTCGGAGGGCCATTCGCCCCACACTGGACGCCATGACTTGTACCTTTCATTACTCGTACCTCGCTCTTTCCGTCGCTCGGGCCGGCACATGATCGGAAAGAGCGAAGCAGAGATTCGCCAGAGTCGGGCCGGACGAAGGGGGGGATAGGGCAAGGGGGGGTTACGAAATCTGCTGCATGCAGTTGGCTTCAGCCCCACCGAGGGGCCCATTCCTCGAGACATGGCCGCCTCTGGCGCCGAGAAAATCAGCTACGTGAGCTGATTCTCACACCCCCCTTGTACTATCCCCCTTTTCGCCCAGCCCGACAGAGGGTCTCATAGCACCGATCCACCCACGTAGACGCCAGCTCGTTTCTTGGGACCCCTGGGAGGCTCTTGGAGGCCCCAGGAGGCTCTTGGAGTTGCCAGAGGGTTCAGCAGCACCGACGCCAGAGCAGGCGCCAGATCGTTCCTGGCAGCGTCGGATGCGGTGGGAAACTCTTGGACGTCCGAGCGATGGCAGGAATTCATGAGGCAAAACAACACACAGACACAATTAATCGTCGACTCCCAGGAAAACATGGCAACATATGGGAAGGGGGGGAAGACAAGAACCCAGAACATCTGTGAAAATATGGGGGATCTTTTTGTTGGTGTATCTATTTGTGTGTCCCAGGGCCCCTTCAGGAATGGACGTCCGAGCGATGGCAGGCCTCGAGGAAGCGCAGACATGGCCTCAAAGGCGCGCGGATGGGCAGCGGGCCCCGCCTCGTGCAGAGCCTGCACGCTCGCCGCCAGATCTCGGCGGCGAGCGAGGGAGAAGGCCCTCCCGGAAGGCGGCGAGACGTCTCGGAAGCCCTCGCGCCTCTTGAGGGGTTCTCGTTGGCCTTCGGGGAAGGCTTAGAGAACATTTCTCAGGAAGCGCGAGGGGACGTCCGAGCCCTCGAGAGGGCGCCGCGGACGTCATTTTCCAGGCTAGCGCCCGCCAGGTTGTTGGGGCCCGAGGTCGTTTCACTGAACCACGTCTTACTAGAGGAGGTTCTGCCCATCCCCGAATCGGGACGATCGAAATGGGTACGAAAAGAGTGGATACGACGCCCAACAGCAATTCTTGTTCGTTTTGAACAGGACTCGTTGTCCGCGCCGCCGCGGACGTTGCTCATTAGAGACACCAAGCCGCCTGCCCAGCAGCGGCCGCTGTCGGTTTGGGGCAACACTTGTTGTTGGGCATTGTGTAAGTTTTTCCGTACCCGTTTCAGGCGTCCAAAGTTCTTGTTGGAGGGTGCAGTTGACGCGGGTTGTAGGAGGTTCGAACATCGGCGGCGAGCGAGAGGGGGAAGTGAGAAGGAGAAGGCCCTCTCAAGAGGCGGCGGGGCTTTTCAGGAGCCCTCGCGCTTGCCGAGAAGCGTTCCGCGTCTTCGGGGAAGGCATTTCTCAAGGGGCTCGGGGACGTCCGAGCCTTCCGAGAAGGCCCGCTCGCTTCCCCCCGCCAGCTCGAGGAGGCGCAAGCACGGACGAAAACACGCGGACGAGCGGCGGGCCCAGCCTCCGTGCCGAATCATCGCGCTCCGTCGCCAGATCAGGCGGCAGTAGCTTCTCACGTGTCGGGGGTGCCTACCCAATCCTCAAGCAGTGGCGAAGCGTCCTGGCTCGCCTGCAGGCCCACCAAAGAATGTTCAAACAGCCTTTTGTGGTCTTCACGAACTCTTCTTATAACCTTTCTGGCTAAAACTGTTTTGTTTCAACACATCGTGCTTACATTCTAAGAACATTGTTTTTGTTATCAGAACATGTGCAGGTTCTAAGAACATCTTATGGTGGGCCTATAGGAATGCTTGGACGGTCGGTCCCTGCTCAAGATCCTTGGATCTGGTACCCCTGCGCCGAACCCATGGATCCCTACAGCGAACGCGCCCATTAAGGACGAGCGCCTTCATCCAGGATGCCCTTTGCGCCCTTGCCTCTGCGGCCGTCACTGGTCGCTTGCCCTGGTCGCCTGCCGCCCAGCAGAAACTGCAATTTCGGCCTCCAAGGCTGTTGCGTCCTTACCACCCGTCCTCAATGCACGTCTCGACTGTAATCCGTGGTAGCGCGTGCCCGAGGGTTAGGCCCCTCCCAGCCGGATGGCTATCGATTCGGCGTGTTTGGGCCAGGGAGCCGACACGAGGTGGAGTGCTCTGTCGGCGGCCCCTAGCGGAGGACGAGGCCTCGCCAGGGCACCAAAGGTGTTCCTTCGACGGGCACCCTCCCCACTGTTTATCCCGCTCTCCCGCACGCATTCCCTCTCTGGACATCACCCTTTTCCCCCTTGGGGAAGGTGCCCTGGTCCATTTTGCGACCCCCTCACGCCATCCTCATCCTCGCTGTTGTCGTTCTCGTCCACGTCGTCGGCATCGTCGTCGTCGTCGTCGTCGTCGTCGTCCTCGTCGTCGTCGTCGTCGTCGTCGTCGTCGTCGTCGTCCCCGTCGTCCTCAGCTTCATCCCGCCCCGCGTTCTTCCCTCGCGCCCTGCCCCGCGAGGAGCTCCTGGACGGCCTGTGCCGGCTGCGGCCTGGCCAGAGCGTCAGAGCGTTGGACTTTGCGTCGTGGGGCCGGCACGTTTACGACCCGCGCCCGCGCGACGCGAGGGAGGACGACGAGGAGGCGGGGGAGCTCGGAATCGCTTAACCAGTCCCTATCCCCATCCCCATCCCCTTCGAGAGCCCCACCAGATTACCACCCCAGTTGGGGATACACCCCGCGAAACCCGAAGGGAACGGCCTATATCCCCATCCAGGGGGGTAAATGGCCAGTGGAGCAGGAGAAGGAGGAGGAGAAGGAGCACCAGCAGCAGCAGGAGGTCTATAGGAGGAGAAAACGGAGCAGGAGGGATTGAGGACGAGGAGCCCCGGAAGTTGAAAACGTCCTGGAAGGAGCGGGGCGAGTAGGAGTAGGAGGAGGAGGAAGAAGGGAGGAAGAGGAACGCTGGCCTCAGCCAGGCCAGGCAAGGCACGCATGTGGGTGGATCGGTTCAGTATGGCCAGGATTTTGTTTTCTTCTGCCAGCGCGTCCAGCCAATCCGGGCCCTTTGGAATATATCAAGAATGCTGGAGTCTGAACCGGTTCTGGTCAGATTGCTGCAAAGTGCAATGGCGCATTGTTTCGTTGGACGCCGAAAGAAGAGTCAGGATGTAGATTGGATCAGGTCCCAACTTGCTCTGGCAAAGCGCGGTGGCGGGAATCGCTCAAACAGTGCATGTGTGTGCGGGGATCAGAAGTATCACACACATCTCTAGGCAACTACATGCTCGATGTTTCTGAGGCCGTCCATGGAGATGCTGAACAACATCGTACACAATGCTGCGGTGTATAAGCGTCGGTGCTCGAGGCTTCGAGAGCGTGCATCCCACCGCCATTCGTGTCTGGGGGGAGGCAACCACGAGAGAGCGTGGCACGAGCGAGGCAGGCCAGCTCGCCCCCGTGGGAGCTCTTCGGAGGCACGGCGTCCCGCAGTTTCCCCCTCTCTGCGCTCTCGGCCGCCTGCCCGTGGCGGGTGGCGCGGCAGGTTCCGGCAGAAGGTCATGCAGAGCCAGGGCAAGGTCAAGGACATCTGCCGACGCTGCTCGGCGGGGGAAAAGTGCCCGGGATCGGCGGCGGGCCTGCGGGGGGGGGGAGGGGGAATGAGAAGGCTTTCCGAGAAGGCGGCGGGACTCAGAAGGCCTCCGGCCTTTGAGCAGTTGTCTGTGTCTCCGGGGAAGGCCTGGAAGGCTTCGCAGAAGGCCGGGGGACTTGAGCCTTTGAGAAGGCTTTGTCCTTCTCACTTCGCCCCCGGGCCCGCCGCCGACGACGCCAGGTGGGCCGGCCAGTGACCAGGACAGGGTATTTGCGTCGAGGCAGGGGGAGGAGAGGAGGATGACATACACGGCAGCGCCCAGATCGAGGGAGGACGGGTGAGGACCTCCCTTGATCCCTCCCTCCTTCCCTCCCTCCTTCCCTCCCTCCCTCCTCATCCTCCTCATGTTCTTCTCTTCCTTCTTCTCCTCCTCTTTCTCCCTCCTCCTCCTCCTCCTCCTCGTTCTTCCCCCCACTGGGCCGTGGGGCGCTGCGGTCCAGGCAGGCACATTGCGTCACCATGTGCTGGTCCAGGTGCCCCTAGCTGGACGTCTCTCGAGCCCGTCAAGAGTGTTCCTTGTGACCCAAAGTGGGCCGGTATGGCGAGAAGCGTCGTTAGTACACAAATGCTTAACAAAAACAGGCAATGATCAGGGGCTGCCTGCCCTCAAAGACAACCACGAGCAGCTCGATGAGCAACGATGTATGGCGGGGTCTCGTACGGTACCTCTATCACCACGTGCTAGACGATCAGGGCGCTCGTGACACAACGCCGCAAGACTTGTCGGTCCCGTGGCGAGCCTCCTGGAGCAGAACAGGGCACCAGGGCAAGGCATGCTGCTCCCTCCGAGTCGCATGATGACGAAGAGGGGGGAGCTCACAGATGCTTGAAGTCGGGCCTGTCCCTCTACAGGATGAATATTCAAAAATAGTCAAAAAATAGTGGGGAGATGTTTTGATTATTTTTGGTAATTTCGGGGTATGGTTTGACTATTCTCTTATTTCTCGTCCAAAATCCCCCTGTAGGGGGAAATGTCCGACCTAATAGATGCCTGTTCTGTCCGCTCCTCGCCCTCTTCTCCCGCCGCCTCGTCCCTCCTGCTGCGCCTGACCCTCTGTCCCTCCTCCCCCCGCCTCCTCCTCCTCCGCCTTCTCCTTAGCTTGCTGCTGTGCTTTTCGCCTTTGGGTTGGGCTCCCGAGAGGAGGTGGAAGCTGTTGGTGCGCGTGAGCTGGAAGCTCGTGCGTTAGCGCTGTCTCGGAAGGCCAAGGGAGATCCCGACCCTGAGGCCATGTGATGTTTTTTGGGGGGTGCCCTGTCGGCGGGCCCTGCCTGGGGGATGGAACCTCAGGTTGGGAACAAACAGTTCTCATCGGATGGGCGCCCCCACCCGATTTTCCCGTCGTTCCCCCTTGACTTCTCCCCTCTATGGGCAGTGAACCCCCTCCTCCTCCTTCTCGTCCTCCTCGTCCTCCTCCTCCTCCTCCTCCGCATCCTCCTCCTCTTCCTCCTCCTCCTCCTCCTCCCCCGCCCCCTCCTCCTCCTCCTCCTCCTCCTCCTCCTCCACCTCCTCCTCCTCCCCCTCCTCCGTCCTCCTCCTCCTCCTCCTCCTCCTCCTCCTCCTCTCTCCTCCCTCCTCCTCCGCCTCCTCCTCCTCCTCCTCCGCCTCCTCCTCCTCCTCTCTCTCCTCCTCCTCCTCCTCCTGCTCCTGCTCCTCCTCCTCCTCCTCCTCCCCTCCTCCTCTCCCCCTCCTCCTCCTCTCCCCTCCACCTCTCCCCTCCCCCTCTCCTCCCCTCCTCCTCCCCCATCCCCCTCCCCCTCCCCCTCGTGCCCCTCGGTCGTTGAACGCAGGTACTCTTGGATGCCCAGATCCCAATCGACCTTTGGCCCCTTCCTACTTCAAGGATCGACTGGCTTCCCTCCTCTTCAGGATCGACTGGCTTCCCTCCTCTTCTCTTCCTTCCTTGGCTTCCTTCTTCCCTCCTCTTCAGGGGGCGGGCGGAAGCCCAATCTACGTCCAACGCCTTCCTGTCTCATGCTGCCACCTACTTCTTCCGATGGGCACCCCTCTTCATCCTCATCCTTGTCACAATCCGTCTCCGGGTTCTTGCACCTTTTCGTTCCGCCCGCTTCCTATGGCTCCTCCTCTAGCTCTGCGTCGTCGCGGCTCGTGCTTCGCCGTCGCCGCCCTCGTCGCAAGATATTGTGCTGCCCCGCGCGGCCCGCGTAGCTTTCCCGTCGCCAAGCACAAGAAGAAGAATAAGAAGAAGAAGAAGAATAAACATGAGTTATCCTGTCGCCAAGTCGCCGGAAGCGGGCCCGTGCGCGAGCGCTTTCCGTTCGCCAGCTGGGAACGCGCTCCAGTCCCAAGAGCAGGCTGTGCCGAAGAGATTTGCTACAGGAGGAGGGGTGGGCATGGGCGGGGCCCTCTGACTCGCTCGACCTGGCGGCCAACTCGACTCTTCCTCCTGCGCCTCCTCCTCCTCTGGAGGACTAAGTCAGAAATCCTCGAAGAGAGCATCATAAAGCAGATAACCAACATCCTGAACGAGCTCAAGGTCATGGACAAGATCGATCATGGGTTCACCTACAGCGACCCCGGCAGCCTGGGCATTGTCCAATTCAAGACCCACGCTGGAAAAATAGGCTTCCTCAAAAAATGGCACGGCACCAAAGCCCAGTGGGAGAACGGCGACAAGCTATGGTGTAAGAGCAACGACCCAATCGAGAAGAGGCTCATCGACAAAACTCTCGGCCAGGTCAAACACAACCTCATGAACAAAGGATTGGCACAAGAATCGATTCGCGTATTTTGGGAAAAAGGCGAGGTGAAACACAAGGGGAATCTTCTTGCCAAGGTCGCCAAGGACGGCACGCTGAGCACCTACGGAGTCGCAGACAGTATCAAAGCCGACGTGGAGACTTTCATGACGAAGTGGAAAACCGCCCGGGACCTCCAGTGACAGAGGCTCCACGTATGTCCAGGAGGGCAACAGTTTTGTGTTGGCGACAGACAGCACTCCCAAGGAGCTGCAGGACGCCGTTCGCTCCGACCACTCCCAACCGACCTCTCTTACCCCTACCCTCTGCAGGAGGCCCGTCGCATCTGGATACCTACATGTACGACGCCCGACTCCAGCTTCAACCAGTCTGGTGCTCCGAATATCAACCTCAGCGCGGGGCAAACTAATCCGGCTGTTCTTTCTCCAATCCCAACCCTCAATGTTTCACCCTCGACCCCTGAACTGTCAACCAGCGGAGGGGAACATCGCACTGATAGTTTTGGCAAGTCACCCAAAGTATCCAGGCAACCCTCACAGGAAACCGACACGTCCCTGCTACAGGCGATCGGCGTGCAGTCCGACGTCGAGCAGCCCGGAACTTCGGCGACTCTGCGCTGCTTACCAGATCAACGACAACAGCCGCATCGACACACGGTTCAACACAGCACTGGAGGAGGTAGAGGACGCTACTCCACCACAGAGGGAGACGTACCGGCATGCTTCCAAGCACCATGCCAACAGCATACGAAAACGGACACACAGCAACCGACAGCGGCAGTTGCACCACAAGCACTCCATGACCAAGCAGACGTCCATCTACAATCCAGCGCCAGAGACGACACCGTGACGATCATTCACAAAAACGCCCGAAGCATCACCAACGATGACGCGATTGACCTGCTCATCCACGAACTCACAGATATATCCTGGGACGCGGTGGCACTCAACGAAACATGGCGGACGACAAAACGGGAATTCTGGGTTACGGATCGTGGTAACCACATATTTGCAGCTGCTGGGCACGACTCCAACTCGTGGTGTTGCGTTTCTGGTACACGAGCGGCACACGAGACGCATCCGGAGATTCATAGCCATCAACGAACGGATCGCCTACATTGACATCGACTTACCTAAATTCCCACTCCGGCTCATCACAGCATATTACCCTCATGGAGGTTACAGCGACCACCACATACAGGCCATGTATGACACACTTTCCGAGATCCATGCCGATGCTCAGCGACACAAGCGAACGACAGTGCTGACGGGCGATTTCAATGCACAGGTTGGCAGGCGACTTGACGACAACGTCGACATGAGCGATGTGGAAAAACGCGTTCTCGGAAACCACGGGCTGCACGGCAGTAACCAACGCGGCATGTGGCTAAGATCATGGGCCTGCGTGCGTAAGTTCTGCATAGCGAACACCATGTTCTACAAGCACCACGAAAACGTGCTCACATACACACCTGCAGGCGGCAAACGAGCAGAATCGCAAATCGACTACATCATGGTGGATCAACGGGCCCGGCATTTGGTTTCAGACTCATTTGCTACGACGTGCCCTGACCTCAACTCTGATCATCAAGCCGTACACCTCCGACTAGCATTGGAAAACACAGGACACCGACCACGGCGACAGAGACGACGACGACGCAAGCATCCGCATCAGCAGCCACCACGACCCAATGACTCCGACTTTCAACGCCACTTGGAAAAGCACCTCGCCAGCAACAGCCCACCAAGTGACCTGCAAGAAGCCTGCACGCTCACTGAACGAGCACTCAGAGCAGCGCACGAAGACCACCAACGACAGCAAGAGCACGAACCACAGCAACAGCCACTCACAACGCGCGGAGACGATGAGGCCTCACGACTACTACAAACACTTCTGACCCAGCGCAGAAACACACCACACACCGACACGATCACTAGAACAACTCTCAGCAAGCGTATCCTACGGCAGCACCGGGCCATCAAGAGGACTCAAAGACAAGCGGCACTCAACGACATCATAATGAAGTTCCGTGGCCTCAGCAAGATATCCGGGATCAAATCTAGTAAGAAGAAGGATCTCATCCACTCCATGGCGACCGTGGACGGCAAAAATGAAACAGACCGGAAAGGGATAGCAGACGTCTTCGCTGATTTCTACGAGGACTTGTTCCGGCGCTCCACCAATGCCGACAGGGCCACAAACGACGAGGCGACCGACACCGCCCACCAAGCCATCCCACCTTTCACCAACGACGAACTAAGCCAAGCAGTGAGACACCTCAAAAACGGCAGGTGCAGAGACACGGCTGGCCTCACTGCAGAGCTCTTGAAAGCAGGGGGGGAGACGATCGTGCAGCACTTACTCAAGCTCTTCAACGACATTCTCGCGCCTCACCAAACACCTCCCGAGCAATGGAGGCGCACCACGATCAGTGTCATTTTCAAGTCCGGCGACCCGCATTTGCCCAGCAACTACAGGCCAATCGCCATCATACCAATGCTGTACAAATTGATGTCTCGACTGCTATGCAATCGGCTTGCGGCGCTCTTCGACTCACAACAGTCACCCGACCAAGCTGGCTTCCGCAAGGGCTTCTGCACAGAGGACCACCTTTTCACCACAACTATGCTGCGCGAGAACTCCTACGAGTGGCAGTTAAATTTATGGGCAGCCGCAGTCGACTTCAAAAAGGCGTTCGACTGCGTGGACCACGATTGCCTTTGGACAGCTTTGCAGGAGCAGAACGTGCCGACGCCGTACATCACCCTACTACGGAAGTTCTACAGCGGGCAGGTGGCCACTGTGAAGACAGACGTCAGCAGCAGGAGCTTCAGCATAGAACGCGGTGTCAAACAAGGCGACCCGCTCAGCTCTTACCTCTTCAACGCCCTGCTGGAGTACGTGTTCCGTCAGTGGAAACCAACTTGGGAAAGAAAGGGATTTGGTATACAGCTGGGGCACACAAAGCTCACGCTTCTTACTAATCTACGATTTGCTGATGATGTCTTATTGCTCGCGACAAATCTGCGCCAACTCAAGTGCATTCTGCATGACCTCAAACGCACAGCTGCGAAGTGCGGGCGTGAGTTGCGCCCTGGCAAGACCAAAATCCTTACGAACGTCAGCAGGGGGCACGGGCAAACGACGAGTCATGCCGACATCGACGGCGACGTGATTGCAATCCTCAGAGCCGGAGAGACCACCAAGTATTTGGGACGGAAGCTGACCTTCCACGACTACCACCAATCTGAGCTTTCCAACCGAATTGCAATGGGATGGGGCGCGTTCAACAAGTTCCACGACGAACTAACAAGCAGCCGATATCCTCTCCATAGCAGGCTAAGACTTTTCAATGGTACGGTGACGCCTACTGTCATGTATGGCTGCACCTCGTGGACGCTCACCAAGGACATGCTCTTAGCACTGAGACGCACCCAGCGACGCATGTTACGTCTCATCGTGAACACCCCCAGACGACGAGTGAACAACCAGACTACACCACGCGACGACGGGACCAGCTCCGACACAGAGCAGCCCGACGACGGACCACAAACAAACTCCAACGACATCCAGCGGCATCTCAACTTCGACGACGCCGACGACGACTCTGACCTCGAACCGTGGGACGAGTACATACGCAGAGCGACCCATGCAGCTATGGATCGGGCAACGCGCTCTCATTTGGAAGATTGGACGACGTTGTACCACAAGCGGAAATGGCGGTGGGCAGGACGCATAGCAACGCAGTCCCGCCAGAGATGGACTTGGCTCGCTTCAGCCTGGAACCCCGACGCCCATGACCCACGTCAAGCTTGCCGCAGACATGGTGGACAGCGAAAACGCTGGAGCGACGACATGACACGATTCATACACTACGCTACTGCCGGGGATATCACAACAAATTGGGTGGAACTTGCAGCAGACACTGAATTTTGGCAGTCGCTGGAGAACGACTTCATTGCCTACTCCAACGTCTAACTACCACGGGCCCCGGCCCGCCCGCGCCGGCCCCCCGGGCCCCGCCAGCCACCGGCCGGCGGACACGCGCGCCTCGCCTCGCCTCGCCTCCTCCTCCTCATCCTGCCTCCTGCTAGCCCCCCCCCCAGCCCGCCTCCTCCCCACCCCTCTCCTCGCCCGACCTCCCAGGAGAAGAGTGTGAAGGCCTGACGGCCCGTGCCGCCGCCCCTGAAAGACACCGACGGCGACCAGGAGGGGGAGGAGGAGGAGGAAGAGAAGGCGGAGATATGGAGGAGGAGCCGGAGATAAGGAGGAGGAGGAGGAGGCGGAGATAAGGAGGAGGAGGAGGAGGAGGAGGAGGAGGAGGAGGAGGAGGAGGAGGAGGAGGAGGAGGGCGGAGGAGGAGGGCGGATGATGATGAGGAGGAGGAGGCGGAGGAGGAGGAGGAGGAGATAAGGAGGAGGAGGAGGAGGAGGCGGAGATAAGGAGGAGGAGGAGGAGGTAAGGGGGAGGACGGAGGAGGCGGAGGAGGAGGAAGGGGAGGAGGTCCGCCCGACCTCCCAGGAGAAGATCGGCCAGATCGAGGAGCTCGCCGCACAGCTGGGGGGCGCAGGCGCCCCGCGCCGCGGCCCCGCCGCGCGGGCAGGCGGGGCCTCTCCCTGGAGGCCCCTGCGCCAGGGCGGTGTTCTCGGGCTGGCTCGTGTTATGTCGGGGCTGTCCCCCTACAGGGGGATTTTCGACGAAAACTAAAAAATACCCCCAACATGCGTCAAAAAGGTCAAACAATATCAAAACAATAGTCCCCAGACTATTTTTGGAGCATTTTTTTAAACAGTATTTTTGTTTTTTTTATTTTTCGTCGAAAATCCCCCTGTAGGGGGACAGGCCCGACTTAAGGCTCGTGTCGGTGTCGGCTGGGCGACGGCCCGCCGCGGGAGTTCCGCCAGAAGCCGTCGCTACAGCCAAGTCGCTGGACCAGGGAGCAGTTTGGGTCCGGAAGGGGCTCGAGGCTCCTGGGCCCCTTCCGTGGCCGTTCCTCAAGCCCTCCTCGTGTACGCAGGCGCTTTGGGGGGCCACGAAGGGGCCTCGTTCCTTCTTAGGCGTTCCTTATTTCAGCGGCCCGACTATGTGGATCTAGGCCTCCTAGATGGGGTCGGCGTAGATGGGGTCGGAGCATGGCGCCGCATCGCCGATGCATCGGCGATGCATCGCCGATGCATCGGCGATGCATCGCCGATGCGGCTCGATGTGGAGCCCGATTTTGGCCACGCCGGCGTCGCCTGTGCACCGTCGACGTCGCCGATGCATGGCCGGTGCATGGCCGATACATCGCCGATGCATTGCCGACGACCCCATCTACTCCGACCCCATCTAGGAGACCTCTAATGGAATGATCTGGTGATCGGAGAATCTCAGTGGCGAGCCTGGGGGGAAGGGTGAGAAGGAGGAGGCCTTCTCGGAAGGCTCGGAAGTCCCCTGGCCGTCTGAGGAGTGTCCTGCGCCTCTCCCCCGAAGGCGCAGAACACCTCTCGGGAGGCGCGATGGCTTCTGAGAAGTCCCGCCGCCTTTTGAGAGGGCCTTCTCCTCCTCGCTTCCCCCCCTCGCTCGCCGCCGAGAATCGACGATCGCTCATGGCTGAACGACCCACGCGGTGTCAGAAACCAACGCCAGGGTCGGCGCGACACGGGCTTGCCTTCTGTCGGGCGTGTCCCCCTACAGGGGGATGTTCGACGAAAAATGAAAATAACTAGAAAATACACCAAAAAGGTCAAAACAATACTCCAAAAATAGTCCCCAGACTAATTTTTGGAGCATTTTTTATTATCTGTGGGGCATTGTTTATTTTTCGTCGAAGATCCCCCTGTAGGGGGACACGCCCGCCTTCAGGCTTGCCGTGAGCAGGACTGGCATGTTCCAGCCGGAGAGAGCGGAGGACCGAGAGGTGGCTCTGGCCCATGGCCGCAGGCTTCTCGGGCGCGCCGCCGTCCTGCTCTAGCAGAGGTCCCCCGTTCAGGGGGCAGGAGGAGGGGGAGGGGGAGGGGGAGGGGGAAGGGGAGAGGAGGAGGAGGAGGAGGAGGAGAGAGGAGGAGGAGGAGGGAGGAGGAGGCGGAGGCGGAGGCGGAGGAGGAGGCAGGAGGGGAGCAGGAGGAGGAGGAGAGGGAGGGGGAGGGGAGGAGGAGGAGGAGGTGAGGAGGAGGAGGGAGGAGGAGGAGGAGGAGGAGGAGTAGGAGGAGGAGGAGGAGGAGGAGGAGGCGGAGAGGAGGAGGAGGAGGAAGGAGGAGGAGGAGGAGGAGGAGGAGGAGAGGAGGAGGAGAGGAGGAGGAGAGGAGGAAGAGGAGGAGGAGGAGGAGGAGGAGAGGAGGAGGAGGAGGAGGAGGGAGGAGGAGGAGGAGGAGGAGGAGGAGGGGAGGGGGAGGGGGAGGGGGAGGGGAGGGGGAGGGGGAGGGGGGGAGGAGGAGGGGGAGGGGAGGCGGAGGAGGGGGAGGAGGAGGAGGCAGGAGGGGGCAGGAGGAGTAAAAGGGCCAAGGAGGAGGGACGGGGTTCGGCCGTGCTGCCGGCCCACTGCACCTCCCGCCGGATCGGCGCCCAGCCCCCGTGTGGGTCCACGGAGTCCGGAGGCCCCGGCCAGAGGGCCCGGTCGCACCCGCACCCCATCAGAGCTCTGTCCTTGGGACCCCCCACACGACGAAATCTCCCCCAAAACCGACCAGGTCCCCCCACCAGGTCCCGGCACCCCCACCCCATGAGAGCTCTGTTCTTGGGACCCCCCACAACGATTTCTCGCCCAAAACCGACCAGGAGCAGGTCGGGCCTGCCCCTCCACAGGAGGAACACTCAAACATAGCAAAACAAAAAAGTCTGGGGACCATTGTTTGAGTATTCTTGAACATGTTTGGAGTATTGTTGGGGATATTCTTCATTTTGCGTCCAAGATCCCATTGTAGGGGGACAGGCCCGACCTGACTTCAGGAGTGGCCTCTCTCCTCCGGCGGCCGGGCACCGCAGGCTGGGGGCGCCGCCCTGGTCGAGGGCCGCGGGGGAGCCTCTGCCGGCTCCCGAGGGGAGCTGTGCTCTCTGGAGGCGGGAGAGGCCCGTGCGCGCCCGCGGAAGGAGGAGGACGAGGACCAGGTCTTCGGGCTTGGTTTTGGTGATCCAGCCTGCTTTGCAAGCAGTGGCGACGCGTCCTGGCTCGCCTGTAGCCCCACCAAGCAGTGGTCTAAGAACCTTTGTGGTTCCCACGAAGTGTTCGTAGAACATTTCTGGCGGAGTCTGTCTTTTTGTATCACATCGGGTTTATGTTCTAAGAACACTGTCTGTGTTTTTAGAACGCTTTTGGGTTCCAGGAACATTTAGTGGTAGGACTATAGGAATGCCGGGACGGTCGGTCCCTGCTCAAAACCTATTCTAGCCTTGATCACTTCAAAGAATTTCGACGACCAGGAAATTGCCGAAACTTGGGTGTTTTCACGTGTCGGGCCCTGGGAAGCGATATTTGGTTCGACACTGTTTCGACATTTTCCTGGGTGCTCGAGATTGTTTCTGGGATGTGGTCCTGAAGCACGATGGGAGCAACATATGGCTTGGTCCCTGTCCGCAGTCCTAGGCCACGAGGAATGCAAGAAGGCCCAGACAGAAACCGTGCACGCTGCGAAGAGGGCGGCCCAGCATTCAGGGCGGGGACCCTCCCCCCCGCCTTTCAGGAACTCGCAGCGGGCGCGGCCGAATCCGAGCCCCTGCTGTGGGATTATTCGCCCGCTGGTGGCGTCAGTAGTGGGTCTCCGCGAGGCCCGTTGCGCCACCCGAGGGTGCGATCCCCCTGGCTGCCGCGCGCCCGCCACCAACGACGCGTGGCATGCGAAACGACCAATGGGGAGTGCGAGGCAGAGGAGCAGCAACGGGAGGAGCAGAAAAGGGGGAGCGGAGGCTCAGCGGAGGACGAGAACGGGCAGGTCGAGGAGGCGGACGGGGCGAGGAATGAAGAGGACGAGGAGGAGGAGGAGGAGGAGGAGGAGGAGGAGGAGGAGGAGGAGGAGGAGGGAGGAGGAGGAGGCGGGAGGAGGAGGAGGAGAAGGAGGAGGAGGAGGGGGAGGAGGAGGAGGAGGATTAGGAGTACGATGGCGAAGGAGGAACAGGGAACGAAGGATGGCTGAGGAAAGTGCAGTCGGGTGCCCCAAAGAGAAGGTGCAGCACGGTGCCGCGACAGGTTCGGCCAGCACGCTACGGCACTTCTCGGCGGCGCCTCCCATCCTGGAGGTCCACCGGGGGCCGCGGAGAGGACGCGTGGTGAAGACCGCTCGAGAGGTGCGCTCCGGTTTCCCACTGCGGTCAGCTGGGTCAGCCGCGGCAGCGGCCGCATTGGATTATGTCCCTGACGACGTGGTGTCCTCCCGGCTATCGGTCATACATACATATTTATATAGACACATGCACATATATATATATATATACACATGTATATATTTATATGTATATATACACATATATATATAATTATATTTAGTATACCTATGAATCAACGCATCTAGATATGTATATGTGGATATGTATATGTGGATCAACCCGTGGCTCAGGGCATGTTTGGCCCCTTCTAGCTGCGCGCTGTCGCCCGCCGGGTGACGTCTCAGTGGACGGGAGGAGCCAAGCAAACCAGCTCTATTATTTCCCAACCATCCTGTGGTGTTGGGTCCTCGTTTTGAAGAGACGGTGGCCCGCGTCTCCTCTCCTCCTCCTCCTCTCCTCCTCCTCCTCCTCCTCCTCCCCCTCCCTCCTCCTCCCTCCTCCCCCTCTTCCCTGCGTTGCACCCACGCAGGTAACACAGCGTTTTCGTAGCCCCCATAGAGCTCCGCCGAAGGCCCCAGTGCCTGGCCGCCCGCATAGCTCACCCACACCAATTCGGCACACTCCCTCACGTTTCGTGGCTCCATCGGAGCTGCCGCCGAAGGCCGCTAGTGCTCTGAGCCCGCATGCGCACCCACACAATTCGGCACACGTCTCTTCGGCACACCCCTCACACGTTTCGTGGCCCCAAAAGGGAGCTCCGCCGAAGGCCCCAATGCTGCCGCCCGCATGCGTCACGCACACCCAATTCGGCACACCCCTCACACGTTTCGTGGCCCCATAGGGAGCTCCGCCGAAGGCCCAAGTGCTGCCGCCCGCATGCGTCACGCACACCCAATTCGGCACTCCTCAAACGTTACACTCCTCAAACGTTTTCGTGGCCCTATAGGGAGCTCCGCCGAAGGCCCCATGCTGCCGCCCGCATGCTCACCCACATTCCAATTCGCACACCCCTCAGACGTTTCCGTGGCCCCATGGGAGCTCCGCCGAAGGCCCCAGTGCTGCCGCCCGCATGCGTCACCCACACACAATTCGGCACACCCCTCACGTTTCGTGGCCCCATAGGGAGCTCCGCCGAAGGCCCCAGTGCTGCCGCCCGCATGCGTCACCCACACCCAATTCGGCACACCCCTCACACGTTTCGTGGCCCCATTGGAGCTCCGCCGAAGGCCCCAGTGCTGCCGCCCGCATGCGTCACCCACACCCAATTCGGCACACCCCTCACACGTTTCGTGGCCCCATAGGAGCTCCGCCGAAGGCCCCAGTGCTGCCGCCCGCATGGGTGAGCGTCAACCCACACCCATTTCGGCACACCCCTCACTAACGTCTTCGGGCCCCCATAGGAAGCTCCCCCCCGAAGGCCCCAGTGCTGCCGACCCGCATGCGTCACGCACATCCAATTCGGCACACCCCTCACGTTTCGTGGCTCCATAAGAGCTCCACCGAAGGTCCCAGTGCTGCCGCCCGCATGCGTCACGCACACCCAATTCGGCACACCCCTCACACGTGTCATGGCCCCATAGGGAGCTCCGCCGAAGGCCCCAGTGCTGCCGCCCGCATGCGTCACCCACACACAATTCGGCACACCCCTCGTACGCTTCGTGGCCCCATAGGGAGCTCCGCCGAAGGCCCCAGTGCTGCCGCCCGCATGCGTCACCCACACCCAATTCGGCACACACCCCTCACACGTTTCGTGGCCCCATAGGGACTCCGCCGAAGGCCCCAGTGCTGCCGCCCGCATGCGTCACGCACACCCAATTCGGCACACACCCCTCACACGTTTCGTGGCCCCATAGGGAGCTCCACCGAAGGCCCAGTGCTGCCGCACGCATGCGGCACACCCAAGCACACCCCTCACACGCGTGGCCCCTCCGCCCGAAGGCATGCGTCGTGCGTCACCCACACCCAATTCGGACGCTCCACCGAAGGCCCTAGTGCTGCCGCCCGCATGCGTCACGCACATCCAATTCGGCACACCCCTCACACGCTTCGTGGCCCCATAGGGAGCTCCACCGAAGGCCCCAGAGTGTTGCCGCCCGCATGTTTCCCGCACACCCATTTCGGCACACCCCTCACGCGTTTCGTGGCCCCATAGGGAATGCGTCCCGCACACCCATTTCGGCATACCCTTCACACGTTTCGTGGCCCCACAGGGAGCTCCACCGAAGGCCCCAGTGCTGCCGCCCGCATGCGTCCCGCACACCCATTTCGGCACACCGAAGGCCCCAGAGTGTTGCCGCCCGCATGTTTCCCGCACACCCATTTCGGCACACCGTCACGCGTATCGTGGCCCCAAAGGGAGCTCCGCCGAAGGCCCCAGTGGGTGTGCCCGCATGCGTCACGCACACTCATTTCGGCACACCCCTCACGCGTTTCGTGACCCCTCACACGTTTCGTGGTCTCATAGGGAGCTCCACCGAAGGCCCCAGTGGGTGTGCCCGCATGCGTCCCGCACACCCATTTCGGCACACCCCTCGTACGTTTCGTGGCCCCGTAGGGGGCTCCACGGAAGAAAATACTCACAATTGCGGTACTCACAATTGCATATTGTTGGGTCTTTCGCCAGGATAATTTCTGGGTTTTCGTTTTCCCCCCCGCTTCCTATATTTTCCTAGATTTTCTGGGGGATCGACGATTCATTGTGTCTGTGTGTTCTTTCCCTCCTGCATCATCCTGGCGACGAAATCGCCACGGTAAAGCAAACCTCGACGCGGCGGACCGACCAGTCACCGGCGTCGACCGTGGTGCGGCCCCGTCGGGAGGGCCTTGTCCTCTCGAGGCGGAGCTCCCAAGGGGAGCACGCTCACCGTGCTTCTCTCGCAGACTGCGGCGACCAGTTCGCCACGAGCCGCAGGGACATATGGGAGGGGGGGAGGCAAAGAGGGGGGAGGGATAGATCGGGGCGGGGGAGGGCGGCATAAATGGAAAAGGGGGCGTAGCAATGGGGGATGCGTGGAGGGATGAGGCCAGAGAGGGGGCGCGGGGAGTGGAGCGGGTTGGTGACTAGACGAGTGATCGAGTGCGCCAGCCAGCGAGCGTTCGAGCGAAGGACGCAGGGATCACGGACACGTGCGACTCGAGCTCGCCGGAATTCGGGTTTACCGACGTTTGTTGACGGGCCCCTCCTGATTTTGACAGTTCAGTTTTCCTTGATTTTTTTCTGGAGAAGCTCGCGTCAAATTTCAGATTCGGTCTCATCATTTTCTAAACGGCCCTTGCATTCCAACCCGAGTCCCCCGAAGCCGAGTCTTACGACGGGCTGAGAGAAGCAGCCGCAGGCGCAAACGACGGCGAGGGCCAGGCTTTCAAGGCGGCCCGAGCGTGGCGTTTCGCTGATATGTTTCTCTCTTTTTCTTTCTTTTTCTTTCTCTCTCTCTCTCTTTTCCTCATCATTTTCGTCATCGTTTCCATGCGCCCGGACAGTCTTGGACTCGTCTTCCTCGCCGTCGTCGTCATCCAATTTCTCGTCGTCGCGCGTTGCCGTTGCGACTCAAGTGTTGACCCATTTGGGCACACTTGATTCGGGTTGGGTCTCCATGCGGTTAGGCCCGTGGTAAACACAGGGCATCGTGTGAAGCGACTCTATTTTGCTTGGGCGCGCAGGCCTGCTCCACGTGAAGCGCTAGCGAACACAGCCGCTCCTGATGTGGATGTGCAACCGCAAATTGTTCGAACATAATGTTTCGTGTTTCTTGCAGGTGCAGCACTCAGATGTGGGGCACGATGACCCCGACGAGCTTTCAAGCTGCGATTGCGCCGTTGTTTCGCTTGGCTCTAGGACGTGTCTAGTGACTTCAAGACTCGAGCCTCGACGGCGACGGTTCGCTCGACAAGTTTGTGCAGTCGATGCGTGACCGCATGCATGCCTGCACACTTGCAGCCACTCGTGCAAAGCATGTGACATCCCGCGGTGCTGTGGCAACGACGCTCGGCTCCAGTGCGACATCGCCCTCGAGCCACCGAAAGCCCCGTCCAGCTTGACTGTGGGGGGTCGCAGCTCGCCGCGGTCCCCCCTGCGCACGACGCCTCGCGCCCCGAGGCAGGTGCAGGCACCCGCCGCGGTCGAGGCGATGGCACCTCGAGCCTCGAGCAGTGGGGGGGGCCCATGCCAAGGAACACCCTGCTCGCTTCCAGGGTGCCCGGGGCTTCTTGGATGTCGCTGGTTTTGCCGTGGAGAGCGTGACGTCCCCACACCAAACATCCATGGACGTCCTGGGGTCTCCGGGTTGGGCTTCTTGTGGAAGGTGTTTTTTTGGTCGAGCCCCATGTTGTAGCCTCGACGCTCCATGCCCAGAGAGACCCGCTCAAGGGTATCCGCTCGACCCCGGCGACGTCGACGAGCACGAGGGCGCTTTCCTCCTGGTTGCGTTAAGTCGGGCCTGTCCCTCTACAGGGGGAATATCCCCAACCATAGTCGAATAATAGTCGGGGGACTATGTTTGAATATTTTCTTGGAGCAGTTTGAAAGATGGTTTGAGTATTTTCTGATTTTCCATCGAAAACGCCCCCTGTAGGGTGACAGGCCCGACCTGATGGTTGCGCCGCCCCCCGCAGCGAGCGGAGCCGAGCGCGAGGGCCCGCCGCGCGCAGGCGGTGCGGGCCGCCGCGCGAGGGTCCGCCGCGCTCGGCAGGAGCGCGGAGAGCAATCGCAGGGCCAGCGGGCCAGTTGCGCATCGAGTCGGGGGCGTCCCCCTACAGGAGGAATAGTCAAAAATAGTGAAAAAATAGCCTGGGACGATGTTTGAGTATTTTTGTTGCCATTTGGGAGTATTTTTTGAGTATTTCTAACTTTTCGCCCAAAATCCGCCTGTATGGGGGACAGGCCCGACCTAAGCCAACGGGCCAGTTGCAGGTCCTGTCAGGCCAGCTTCGAGGAGGAGGCCACAGAGATCGACGAGGCTAAAAGATACGCATCCTGGCAAGGGCGGATCCGATCGTGCGTGTGCGGTCCACACTCTTTCCAGCTGCCCCCCCGGTGTCCGCCCCCTCACCGTGGGGGCTGGCGTCTGGGGGCCCGTCCTAGCAGCTTGGACGCATTGAGCTGCGCCAAGAGTGCCATGACATTTCTGCAGCCTTGCCCTCCTTCCGATGCGTCGGCTTACATTCGCAAGACCTCTTGCCGAGCGATGGAACTAGTGAAAGAGGAGGAGGGGCTTTTGGGGGAATCTACGGATGCTGTCCCGTCTAGACGGATGCAGGTTGCAACATGGGGGGTGGCATGAGTATTATGCAGCTTCAGGACAGTCAACCTGCATATTAAGGATGGGCAACCATCCCAATGGTTTGCATCCTTCCCCTTTCGGCCAACCCTTCGCGACGTTCGCTGGGCGACCTCGCTCGACAAACGTTCACTTGGCCCTCCAAGACCCGTGCATCCTTACCGCGCATTATGATGGCACGGGTTGGCTGTGCTCAGTTCCAGTTCCGGTATCGCAGTGCAGGCTTCGTCCGTTCCTGTGATGCTATGTTTAAGTCGGGCGTGTACCTCTACAGGAGGACAATTCAAAAATGGTAAACAATAGTCGGGGGATGATTTCTTGACTATTTTTGTCCTTTGGGAGGGTACCCCTGGCATGCCGGCGAGTTCGCGACCCCGCGCCCCGGTTTCGCCCGGGCGCGCGTTCGGATTGCCTCCGCCGCGCCGCGACGGAACGAGGTTCCCGGCAGGGCTCTGACCTGAAGTTCTTGGGGTCTGCTGAGATTACGTACACTTGAGCTCCGAGGAAGAAGTCGCATTACCAGGGGAATCTCCAGTAGAGGAGGTCATGTCCAGCTGCCTGCGGCGAGTCCCGCAGCCGTGCCAGCCTAGCATTTTGGGTTGTCGATTGTTCGAGGGGGCATTGGAGGCCGTCACGTGTGACACATCATCTCCAGGCTTGAGAGAGCCGTGATGAGCATGATGATGGTGGTAACGATAATGATAATGATGCTGATGATTGTGGTGATGGATTAGTATAAGCATGACGATGGTGATTATATTAGTCATGATAACGATGATTATGGCTATGATAATGATAATGAATATGATTGAGCAGGGCGATGTGATGCTGATGATGATTAAGATATTGCTAATGGTTTTGATAATGGTGCTGATGCTGATAGTGCTGATGATCATGATGGTGTTGATAGTGGTGGTGATGACGGTGCTGTTGACATCGACGACGACGATAATGACGTCGATGACGTTGAGTATAGTTATGCGGATGCTGCGGCTGCTGCTGATGTAGTCAATGATGATGATGGTGATGATGGTGATGATGGTGATGGTGATTGTGACTACGATGATGACTATGATGATGCCGACGATGATGGTCATGGTGATGATGATGATGTTGATGATGATGATGATGATGATGATGACTGCGACGAAGATGCTGATGATGATGCTGCTGACGATGGCGACTATGATGACAATGCTCATGACGATGATGATGATGATGATGATGATGCTGATAGTGCTGATGATGACGTTGGCGACGATGATGATATGCTAGTGATGATGGTGATGATGGTGATGTTGATGGCCACGACGACGACGATGATGCTGATGATGACGGTAATGAAGATGATGACGATGATGATGGAGTTGATGATGATGGTGGTGGTGATGGTGATTGTGATGATGATGATGTTGATGATAATGATGATGATGATGATGATGACGATGATGACGATGCTGATGACGACGATGACGACGACGATGGTGATGATGCTGGGTCTGGTGGTGGTGATAACGATTGTGATGGTGATGGTGATGGCGATGATGATGCTGATGCTAATGATGGTGATGATGATGGTGGTGATGATGATGGTCATGATGACGATGGTGATCATGCTGATGATTATGATGATGATGATGATGATGATGATGATGATGATGATGATGATGATGCTGATGCTGATGCTGATGCTGCTGCTGCTGCTGCTGCTGCTGATGATGATGATGATGATGATGATGATGATGATGATGCAACTCGTTTTGGCCGTCTTGGGGCCCTCGTACGCCGACGTGGGGTTCTCTTGAGTCGTCGTGGGGCCCTCGTGGCGCCGCCGGCCTTCTAAGGCCGTCTTGGGTCCCACGGGGTGCCCTCTTGGGCCGACTCAGGGCCGTCTTGGATGCCCCTTGAGCCATCGTGGATTCCTCTTGGGCCGTCGTGAGTTGACAGCAGCCCGAAACGGAAAGACTGCGAGCATCATTCAAACACCAAAGGGGAGTCGATGAGGTTGGTTTCGTCTGACGTTGTTGAAGGTCCTCTTGTGGCAATTCTGGGCCCTCTTCGAGTCATCTTGGGCCACAGTGGATCAGTACTCGGCCGCCTTGGGACCATCTTGGGCAGTCTTCGAGGCACATTGGGCCATCTTGGTGTCCGTGGTTACCTGCGCGGGCCATCTTGCAAGCTCGGGCCGCACATCCGTCGTTGTTAATGAGAGATCGTGGCATGGGAGACCCTGGAGCGCTTGGAAGCAGTACTTGGGAATGCGGGACGTGGACCATGCGGGTTCAGGCATTAGCGGCCATGCGGGAAGAACACCATCTTCGAGCGGGCACGCGTGGAATGAATGTGTGCCTTAGTTGCTCTATGCGGGAAGGTGACCTCTTGGGTGCCCCGTGAGGCCTCTTTGGCGCCTCTTGGCGCCTCTTGGGTGCCCCGGAGGCCACCTTGGTGGACATCAGTCAGAGAATGGGTGAGTTTCAATTCTAGACGCTTCGCGTGACCCCACCACTTTTTGGCTGTTGCTTGGGCTGCAGCTGGTAAGCGGCAGCACAGCTTTCCCAGAACGCCATCGTCTTACACTTCACTCTGGTGCGCCAGGGTACCAAGGACAGGCGGCTCTGTGTATGCTCGTCACGTTAGATGCTCCCTGGTACGCGTCCCTGCTCTTATCTCCGGTTGGCAGTCGCCTGCGACTTGTGCCTGGTAGAGGTTTGGGACAGTTGTACCTTCCGCATAGCGTCACATCATGTTACCTGGTGGCTCGCTTGCGAACGCATCTATTCGAGGTTGTCTCCCGGGCTTGACGTGCCTCGTTCGGTTACTGACACCACGAATTTCGCGCCTTTTGGCTGGGTTGGTGCGTACTCTGAAGCTGCGACGGTTCGCTGGCGCTGTCAGAGTCCAACCTCTCCCTACGGTATGCAGTCTGGCGACAGCTTGTGTGTCTCTCGGTCGCTTCTGCTTGAGCATGGCAGACACCCTGGGACCCCTTGGTACGCCATTCCCGCGCCGAGGTTGGCAGACTCCCTTCTGTTCAGATAGTGTCTCAAGCGGCGTACTGCTTGGCTATGGCCTCTGACACTTTGGGGGTATT